CTATAAAGAGAAGGCAAGACTAAGAAAATCAAGGAAGGGATAGGATGAGAGGCGGGCCTTTTATAGGTATGAGAAATGTGAGCATTGTGAGCTGCAGAGAAGTCGCTGGTAGAGAGACACGGAAGAGAGAGTACACAGCTGATGCCACAGCGCTGAGGAGCAGAGCCCTCCTGGGCAAGAACCACGTGTTCACTCATGGTTCCATGGGGAAATCAGATTTTTTTTTAATCCTACAACCCTTTCCCCAAGAAAATACCCAGTCGTAAGTGGTGGACATGCCTGTGCACTTATGGCTATGTTAGAGGAGAATGTAAGCAGCAGACCTACTGTACGCTTATGTGAGGAGACCAGTTTATGAGTTCAGGTTAAAATGATTGCTTGTTCATTAAAAAAGAATAAAGTTATGGCATTTGCAGATAAATGGATGGAGATGAAGAATATCATACTAAGTGAAGTAAGCCAATCCCCCAAAACCAAAGGCTAAATGTTCTCTCTGATAAATGGATGCTGATCCATAATTGGGGCGGGGGCAGCATGGGAAGAATGGAGGAACTTTTATTGGGCAAAGGGGAGGGAAAGGAGGGGGAAAGTGGGGGAGGAAAGATGGTGGAATAAGATGGACATCATTACCCTAGGTACATGTATGACTGCACATATGGTGTGACTCTATCTTGTATATAACCAGAGAAATAAAAAACTGTGCTACATTTGTGTACAATGAATTGAAATCATTCTGTTATGTGTAACTAATTAGAACAAATTAAAAAAAAGGAAAAAAAATGGTTGCTTGTTAATCATCCTGATTACTCCATGCCCATTGCTGGCAATAGGTCATCTAATTTTTAAGTTGTGACTGACCTGCTATCGAAAAACCTTACTGTCCGAGATGTTCAATATACTTTACACGGCAGAAAAGTGCCCCTGTTGGAAGAAGTGGATTTCAGAACATTTGTACCTTGTGCATTGATTCTTCCTTCTTTTGAAATTTTTGAGATGGGGGCTAAGTTGCCCATTTTGACATCAAACTTGAGATCCTCCTGCCTCAGCCTCCAGAGTTGCTGGGATTACAAGTGTACATCACCACGTCCAGTTTTAATTCTTCCTTTTAGTTTTCCAATGGAGCACAAATGGGCATATAAAAAGTTGCCTTTTTTACATGCTTTTATTAAAGCATGTAATATCCCTTGGAAGTTGGGAATTTAATGATATTGGTGCTTGATATTAATTTTTAGGTGCTTAACACTGGGACCCTCAAGATGAGGTTTTATCTTCAAATACATAATAGAATTGATTTTACCAGAAAGGGGAGCAGACATCTGTTTTTGTGATATGATATGATTTTAGGGAAACTCAGTTACAGAAGAGATGAGATTTAAAGATATTGTCTGAGGTTATGCAGTAGTTGATGTTGAATTGAAACTGTCTCTAATCCCCTGATTTTTGACCCTGAATTTCCTTGCCTTAAATGTGTGTTGCCTGTAACAGGAAAGGGTATGGCTTTCATTGCAAAAATTAATGGAATTCAACACCACAGCACCATGAGTGCAGATTATTGCCAAACCATTAAAAGTCTTATTGGTTCCCATGTGGTATAGAAATAATTTCTTCTTATAGTGAAACTAGTTATGAGTTGTGAAGTGCCACTGGGGGCTGGAGCCAGACTGTTGAGACAGTGGGAGATCCCTGTTCTTAGATCTGCAATTTCATAACTTGGCCTGTGGCTCCCTATTTCTTCATTTTTAATTTACTCCTTTTATATGTGTCATGTAGGAAAATATCCTGAAGACTTTTCTAATGAAATATATTGAATAATGGGTTTCAGTCAGCTTATAGATTTTAGGAAGTGTTTCTCAAGAACTTTAAAGTCATCCACTGAGAAAATCATTTAAAAAGAATCGTCTAATTTTGTTTCATTTTTGTGGTTCTGGACGGAACATTACCATTATCATTATTAATGTGCATATTCTATCTTGTCCCCAAAAGAATGTAGACAACTGGCTTATAAACACATAAATATAAAGAGTGTGCTTTGCAATCACTTCTTATTTCTCAGATTAAGGGAATAAGAAAATGGAAATAATTATCTTCAATGTTTTGTTTCTTGAGTAAAGAAAAGGCAACTTTTTATATGCCCATTTGTGCTCCATTGGAAAACTAAAAGGAAATATGCCTCATATGAATTCCTGGTTAATTTTGGAAGCTATAGTTATTAGCTACGCGTGATTTGTGATGCACTATCACATCTCATTTCTATTGTGTGCACGCTCTGGAGCTCTACATTAATTACTTACTTGGGAATAGTAGAGTGGATTGAAGAATCATCTGGGGTGAGATAAACTCTTGAACATGCAACGTGAGCAAATATGAAGCAAGTCATCAAATGGGGACTTGATCTGGCACCAGAGCCCTCCTTAAGAGATTACCATCCTTAGGAGGGTGCGGGGTCTGCTACTGCAGCTTCATGAAGCCATGGAGTGAGTCCAGGTAAACATGGCTCTGGTGCTCAGGTGGAAGGCGGGGGTAGGGGGAGGTGGTACTGCTACCTGTATATAAAGCTCAAACAGGAGTAATATCATTTAAAACCTTTGATCTTCAAGAAGCTACTTCAGCAACTACAATGGGGAGGCACAAACCATTTTGACACAAAAAAGCATTGAACCTTAAGAATGAAGGAAAATGACCAACAAGCTTAGCTATTTCCAACATAAATAATTCATATACTCTCTGGATTCTCTTCTGAGGCTCCACATTGACTGTTAAGAATAGCATTTTCCTTTCAAGACATGATGTCAGTCACACACAGAAACATCATAGGGATGTGGAGCAGGTGATGTATCTTCAACCTCTCCCCCTGAGAGGTAGCATAGTCTATGGCATTTAAATTCTGGGGTGATAGTGAGGTAATGTTTATATTTTCATAGAAAATGATTCATGAATTCAGGTGGTATTTTCATAATCACATAGAAATACTAGGTTTGGAAAACAGGTTTTACCTAACACAAAAGATTTCATTCAATCCAGATAAAAGACTACTATTTGCAAAAATCATACACATTTCTAATGGCCTTCCATCTGTGCAGCAGTGTGGAATGAGATTATAAGTCACTAAGCTATGAGATTTCAAATTATGCTATTCCTTGCAAGTTGTTGACCAATACTTCACTTCTGTTTTTCTGTGTCGCTGCCAATTTCCCTGAAGTCTCAGATCTTCTGCTTCTCCTCATGCCAACTTCCCAACAACACTGAGCTGATGTTGACAACTGACCATTCTCAGAGGCTTGGTTCATGGGCTGTGGACAGTGCTTTTCAAAAATGGGAGATACATATTTGTACCAAAATTGAAATACCATAGGCTTAGGGTCAATCCCTTATTTATGCTCCTGCTGTTGGGAAATGAGTCAGGAAATAAATCATCTGGTGATCATCTTAGTCAGATTTCTGTCACTGTGATAAGATTATCTGAGATAAACACTAAAGAAAGATAGATTTTTTTTGGCTTATACTTTCAGAGGTTTTAGTCCATGGCTGCTTGTCTCTGCTGCTTCCAGGGCTGGGGTGGCACAGTGTATCATGGCAGAAGTGAACAGATGGAGAAAACCTGCTCACCTCATGGCAGTCAGGAAGAGAGAGGAAGGGTTTGGAGTCCCAATAGTCCTTCAAGAGCATGCCCCGGATGACCTACCTTCCTTTAGTAGATCCATGTCCTCCTCCCAACAGCGCAACAGGCTGGTGACCAAGCTGTGAACAGAGGGGCCTCTGGGAGACATTCAAGATCCAAACCATACAGGGATCAAGGACTGGCGAAGGGCATTGCATAAAATGTCAGTGAATCCAGAGAGCAAGTTATGAAGCAGTTCATCATATCGAAGAGAAAAGAGAGAGAAATGTTTGAAACTATAAGAAAAAAGGGCCGCCTAGTCAAAGGGTAGGAACGACATTTCGAAGAACCTCATGGGAAGATTTCACCTCTGGAAGAAATACATGACTTGATCAAAATGAAAGAACTCACATTATGACATTAGTCAATATTAAGTAAAGAAGTAAATGAACAGGATGGCTGTGACACACAAACTCTGAGTTACTTTGTATCCTGGATGGCACTGGATAAAAGGGCATCTTCATCACCCTAATATAGGTGCTGTGGCATTCTTGGTCAGATACATGTGTTTCATCTCTTTAAAGGAAACTCATAATGCAGTGAATGTGAAGAAATGGGTTTAAAATGTAAGATGTGGGCTGGGGGTTGTGGCTCAGTGGTCGAGCACTTACTTAGCATGTGTGAGGCACTGGTTTTTTTGATTCTCAGCACTACATATAAATAAATAAAATAAAGGTCCACTGACAACTAAAAGTAAATATATATATATATTAAAAAAAATGTGAGATGTGTCTTGTTTAATGAGACTCAGCGCTTCCCAGCTATATTCATTATCAGGAGAAACATGCTTAACAGTCAATAAACCTTATTCATGGTTATCATCAAACTTTAAAAAATATATGGACAAATGCAAAATATATTTTTATTTACCTCTTTTTTTCCCCACATATAAACTTTTAGTATAAAAATATCCAGGCCTTCACTAGCATTTTTCATTTTTGAAAAACAAATCCAAACTGTACTGATCTTTTTTTTTTTTTAAGTGTGTGTAGGGGATTTATCCAAGTAAACAAATGTTCCCACTGTTCTAATTTCCTTCAAGACTTGTGGCCTGTGTGTTCTATGAAGGCAGAAGTTACCATCAATAGAAATACTGCTCTAAAGAAATTATACTTTAAAAATACTAAAATACGCTTGTTGGCAGTTGGGGTGCCCAATTTTCCTTTGTACCCAGCGAAACTTTAGGAAAAGAATCCTTTTTAAGATCTTAGCTCTTTCTTTTTGAATTATTAGTGGTATTTTTTTTTTTTTCATTTTTAAATACAAATGCAAAATGAAACACAAAGTCAATGTCATTGCATCTATAGTCAAAAATCTAATCTCTGCTTCAAAGTATCTTAGGTCTTCTGAGCTTAAATGAAAGCCAAAAAGGCAAATGGTACTAGGGGTCATCAATGGGCCTTTCTGGATCTGTTAGACATGGCAACTTTGTATGAAGTTCTGCTTTCAAAGTTGCTACTCCAGCAGCCTCTGTAGGTAAGACTTGGGGTAGGTGGAACATCTTCAGAAATCCTTTGCTGTCCAAGCATCCACAGGATGCTAATAATTTGGTTTGATACTATGAGAGCAAGGATGTTAGATTTATGTTATCATGGCCACCCTGGAATAAGATGTTGTGACTGTACTTTAAGGACAGTGAAACAATGTAAAATGAAGAACATAGAGTGTCTACATGTGGGCATTCGAGGGCAGGTTGGTGGTGCTGAGTAGCTAGAGGTCAACGGCATGTCAGCCTACCCTCTCTGGAGTCACTGTGTGTTTCAGGCATGTAAGGTGAGGAGAAGAGTCCTTCAGTGCCGTTCCCAGCCCAGTTCATGCATAGTAGAGCTGCCACCGGAATGCAGGGCCAGAAGTCACTTATTCCACTGTGTCCGCTGTGCCGAAGGGTTGCCACTGACCAAGATGAAAAGCATTGCGGTCGCTATCTTCCCAAAGCCGTACCTGTTTTAGGTACCCTTGAAAGTCCAGTGATCCAAAGCCATTACTAGGAAACTGGTTTCATTATACTGTCCCCGAGGGTTATTTTGTTCAAAACCCCAAGTTTAACTGAAGAGGAGTCATCTGTCCACACAATGGATGTAGATAGACTTTTTTTTTTAATTTTGAAAATGGATTTCCTCCGATGTTTATGCAGCAGTTGTTTCAACTTGTCCTTAAAGAAACTGGTGGTGAGCGTGTAGAGGATCGGGTTCAAGGCGCTGTTGACTGGAAGGAAAAAAATCACTATCCAGGAGGTGATTGTGCCTGGAGAAGGAAACAAAGCATGAAAACGAATTGAGAGTCAGGGTGTGTGTGTGTGTATGTGTGTGTGTGTGTGTTGCTGGGGATCAAACCCAGGGCCTTGCACATGGTAGACAATAGCCCTACCACTGAGCAACACCCCCAGCCTGAAGGTGAGAATTTAAACAGACAAACACAATAATACTGCAGACAATGCTATTTATGAGAGGGTTACAAAGGACATTTGAATTTCTTCTTCTTACTTCAATGAGAAAAAATATCTTTGTTGGAAGAATGCAGGAGCTACAGGTTCAAAGTCTTCCCACTTAACTTTTCTGAGTTTTAGTAACTACCTTGTCGATCCTTGGGACAAAACAAGAGGAAATAACTGAAACCTCTGTAAGTTAGAAATTGGTATGCCATGTATTTTTCTTGTTTTTATTGCCTTCACTTATAGGAAAATTAGAAAATGAGGAAATAATCCACAGAACAAGGTCAGAAAACTTCAGGTCCAGAAGCTAGATTTGACCTTGGCTGTAAATCCATCCGGTCCTCAAGGCTTCTTATCCTGCCCTTGGGTACCAGAGATCTTATTTTTGAGGTGGGAAGACTTGAAGAGGAAAGAGGAATGTGTCCCCCAAGTTTGATGAATTCTTTTGTGTGCAGTCTTACATCTGCTAATAGAATATTCAGGAAAGAGGCCAGAAAAGGCTTTTCGTGAGGAGAAATTTGGAGCGAGAGTGTCCTTCCCCAGTATATCCTTTGCTGGGTTAGAATGAAATGTATTTCCCCCTCTTTAAAGGCAACCTGCTCCTTTGGAGAAACACTTCTTAGCTCATTGACCCTGGACAAATCCCTCGCGGTCTCTGACCCTCACCGACCTTCTCTGTATAAGAAGGCTGCTGATAGCTGGCTGCAGTGGACATCCCTCTTCAAATTCTCACACCTGACCAAGATGCTGCCTCCTTCCACGTGGTCAAAAGCTCAAAGACCTCCCGATGGGGCGAAAAGCTGGGTAGTAAGACCAGTGGGACTTCCCTTCTTTGTTACTCTCTGACTCTGTCTCTAATCCTGCAATTTTCTAATCCTTTGGCCACTATAATTTTATTCTTCTATTGACCTTGCTTTGTTTCTTATATATATTAATTCTTCCTCTGTTTCTTTGCCTTTTTTTCTCTGCTTACCTGACCTCCCTTCCCTCTCCTTTCCTTCTTCTTCATCTCTCTTCTCTCCTCTTCTGTATTTGCCTCCCTCTTCCCCTATCCTATATTCTCTTCCTTCTTCTTAGTTTTTTAAACGGACAGAGAATCAGAAAATAAAATCTATACCCTATCTCAGATTTATTCAAGATCTCTACTATTTGTTGTTGATTTTTTTAAAAAAATTAAATGATCTGAACAGTTAATGAATGAAGAAAAGCTAAGTCAATTGGTTTTTGTCTGTTGTTCCTCACCAAAGGAATTACGAACAGTAATCCTACCCCAACCTGTTGGAGAAACAATTCTTGAGAGCACTTACTTTCATTTAGGCAAAGACAAAAGGGCCGTGAAGTTTCCATGTGTAATTTGCACTCTGCATGAGGCTTCCTCTTCAGTCTCAGGGAGACTCCTAATTCAAAATCAGCAGCTGAGTTCTGGGACAAGAGGGCTAAAGGTGGTTTTATCTTTTGGGCTTTGTGATGGATTTCTTTCCTAGATCCACCAAGGTGTCCCAGATAAACCTCCAAGTAGTGAACATAAATGTAAAGGAGGGCTGATGTGTGGCTCAGTCCTGTTTCCACAGGACATTTTTTCCGGTTCGAGGGACCTTCGTGGAGGTTGTAGTTAAGCTGATCACAATCTAACTTGTCCCAGGCTCTCCCAGGAGGCTGGTCATTCCTGCGGCCATCAAATGTCTTTGCTCTCCAGTGGCCTCCTGATTCTAAATCAGAGAGTGCTGTGGGCCAATTTTGATCCCCAACCCCACCAAATATACACGTTGAAGTCCCAGAATGTATGAATGTGACTATATTTGGAGACAGAGCTTTTCAAGAAGTAAGTTAAAATGAGGTCATTAGGGTGGGTCCTATTCTAATCTGACTGATGTCTCTAAAGGAAGGGGAATTAAGGACCCAGGAAGAGATATCCAGGATGTCCACACCGAGCAAAGGCCACATGAAGACACAGCAAAGACTTCCATCTGAACGACAATGATAGAGGCCCCAAGAAAAACCAAACTGCGATAGGAATTTGGGGCTACAGAAAAGTGTCCCTGAGCTGTTGAAATGCAGGAAACCCCCATGAACCTTGGAAACACGTGAAACAAGTATTCCCAAGCAACACCTCCTTGTCCTTAGTCTGTGTTCCTGACCTGGGCCTAGACCTGTGTTCTTGCCTGCAAAAAGAAACACAGGGGCAGTGCACAAGCTCTGGAAAAACTGGAGCCAAACTGTGTGACTCTGCCCTGGCTCCATGTCTAGTGCAGCCCCAGTTGTGCCTCTAAATATCAACACTCCACACCAAGAGGTTTCAGTCTCTCTCTCTGGAGATGGTCCGGCATTCCTCCTTGAATGTGTATTCTTTGCTTTACCTCAAAGGATATCTCTTTCTTTATGAGATAGGGATTTGAGGACAAAGAGAGAAATGCTGGGAGCTATCTAGAAGCCATGTGTGAAGTGGAAGCGTGGTTGTAAATCTTGAGCAACATGCCCTTGGCCCACCCCTTTATAAAATAAGGGAAATACACAAATCCAGGGAAAACTGGTGCGCAATTGTGCAGCTCCACCCTGGATCCATCTCCAGTCTAGCTCCCGATACAGCCCTCCTATAATATTGGACCCTCAGCTCAAGTTAGGGCTGCTTCTCACTCTTGAGGTAGCCCGCATTCTACCTTGGATGTATATCTACCTTTCCTAAATGAACTTCTGTTTTTGACTTTGTCTGGTTTCTGCTGAAATTCTTTTTGGCCACAAGTGCCAAGAAACCTATTGGTCCTGGGTTCAGTTCCCTCTTGCTTCTGGGAACCTCTTGGACCCTTTTCTGGAGACATCTCTTCTCCTGTGACATCTTGATATAGCCTGCATTCTCCCTTGCATGTGTATCTGCTTTCATAAATAATCTGTCTCTGTCTCTAACTGGTGTATGCTAAAATTCTTTTCTATCTCATATGCCAAGGACCCCATTTGTCCTGAGTTGAGGTTTCCCTCTTTGGGAACTCCTTGGACCTTTGATGACAAAATCTGTGGTCACTTTTGAACTGTGAGAAAGTAATTTTCTGTGATACTTTATTCTGATAACCCTCGTAGTCTAATAAAAAAGGAAAAAGCCTCAAGGAACTAAGATTCACAGAATATTAAAAAGGGGAAGAAATATGAGAAATCGTCTAGGTGAGATGACATTTGTAAGCTCTCTGCATGGATCAATGACTGGGTCAGGACTGGAAACTGGATCTCCTGTCTCCATCCTTTCCACCATCTCGGATAAGCTCAGCTTCTCTAATCAAGGAGGGAAGCTCTGCTTGGAAGCTCATGTGTTGTGGGTGGCCTTGTGTGTTCCTGACACAGGTCATTTTTCCTAGGTCACAGGCCAGCAGAAGCTTTTTCATTTATTGAATAATTTTAAGTAAAAAGCACTTTGGAAATTTCAAAGATGAGTAAGGCCTGGTCCCCTTGTTCTGAAGCTTATAACCTGGAGGGGGCCATGGATCCATTCAAAATCAGTGCTGATGTGGGTCAACTCAGGAAGGCGAGAGTGCAGTGCAAACAAGATGTGGTGGGCAGTTGAGCTTCTGGCTGGATGGAAGGGGTGAGAGAGGTCTGGAAAGCGACTTTAGAGGAGGGAGTACTTGCACTCAGTCTTGTAAGAGGAGAAGGGGTGTTTAAAAGGCTAGAAAGGATGGAGAGTACAATCCAGGTAGAGGGAAGAGATCAGCAAAGGCTGATGTCATTTCAGAAAAGTGCAGAAGCAAAAGCCCCATCATTCCAAAGGGTCTGATCATAGAAAATGTGAGGGTGGGGTGGGAGATAAGAAGCTTTACAATGCTAATCCCAGCATTTGGATTTTATTCCATGAACAATGGAAGCCAATGTATAGTTTAGTCCTGCTGAATTTGAAATGATAGGATGCTAAAATTGAAATGTCCAGGTAGTGGTCATAGATTGGACATTATTCAAGAGAACATTCTGTGATCATTAATATTTAATGAACTCTCCTCTTCATGTACAACTAGCTCTGCCCAAGTGATCTCACACAAAGTCTTTTGGCTTCTTCTCTTACCACCCAGGCCAGCAAAATCTCCCAAATGTTCATTCCTGATCTCCCTTCTGATTGTAACTCCCACTTCACCTAGTTCAAGGGACATCTATGCTTGCTTGTGAAGATGAAGTCTTTAGGTTAAGGGACCACTGTGGCCATCCTGTGCCATGGTTCAACAAGGCATTTGACAAAGTTTCACACAACTGTGCACAAGGCAGAGGGAAAGAGGTTGCTATCCACTGAAACGACGAGTTTTTCAATCAACAAGAGTCAGGCTAGAGCCCTGGGAGGCTTCCAGATGATTGTGATCTCAGATCCCAGAAATGGCTTCAAGTAGAATTCTAATTTATTATTATTATTTGGTACTAGGAATTAAACTCAGGGGCACTCGGCCACTGAACCACATCCTCAACTCTATTTTGTATTTTATTTAGAGACAGACTCACTGAGTTGCTTAGCACCTTGCTTTTGCTGAGGCTGGCTATGAACTTTCAATCCTCCTGCCTTAGCTTCCCGAGCTGCTGGGATTACAGGCGTGTGCTGTGGTACTCAGCTAAAATCCTAATTAATGAAAGATGGTTTGCTCTGGTTGAAGTAAGACTGTCAGTTGAGAACCTGGTCTTTTGGATGAGGCACTTCTACGGTACAGCTAGCATTCCACAGAGCCCAGTGTGAATGACATTCTGTGGCTAGGACATGCAATAGACTGGTGGTTCTATCTAGTTGTGTGTACATCAGAATCGCAGGGGAGCTTTTGCAAAGTACCTCTGTACATGCCTGGGCCTCCAGAAACAAAACCAAAACCTCTGGGTGGAACCTGGCCATGTATATTTTATTGTTGTTATTGTTGTTGTTTCCCATGTTCCTGGTTAAGAACCACTATCTAGCTCATGTGCAAGCAAGATGCTCAGACTTATTTTCTCCATAACTCCCATTTTTTAATTATTCCTCACTGAATTGCCCCACTACCCAGTTTCCATCTCAGCATTCCAGTTACAAAACACTAAGGGAAATAATAACTCTTCATACGGAGCTCACAGGTGTTCATGGAGAATTTACTAGGTGTAAGGCACTGTCCTAGATTCTGGTCTCATCAAACAAAGGGCATAAAAAAGGAATGTAGTTGAGAATGACAGAAGGAACTGACTGACCTGGTATTTCCACTCTGAGGAGGGAAAGGATTTTAACGACAAATACAGGAATCCAGCAGATGGCATCAGAGAACACTATAAAAAAGAAGCGATTTGCAACAGCCACCTCTTTTCCGATGTGATTCCTCACTTCTGCTGTCTGCAAGGCGGTTTTTTGGATGGAACAGAACATAGTAATGTAGGAAAACACAATGATGAGAAATGCCAGCAAGTTCACACCTGTGGGGAAAAGCACATCTCTTAACATCTCAGGCGTAGAAGTCAATGGTAAAATACTGGGGAACTTAGATGTTATGGCACCTCTTAAACTTGTGCTTCCAAGAAGCATTCTTTCGTATCAGCCTAGGGTTATTCTGTTAAAATTCCTGAGTTTAAGAAAACAAGATAAAGGAATTGGGTTTTCCAACTCAAAAAGATGTCAAAGACATAGATCCTTTTTTTAAAAATATATTTTTAGTTATAGATGAACATAATGCCTTTGTTTTAAGTGATGCTGAGGAGCGAATTCAGTGCCTTACATGTGCTAGGCAAGCGCTTTATCACTGAGCCACAATCCCAGCCCAAAGACATAAATCCTTTATGAAAAATTATAGACTTCTGAAATTCACATCTAGATATATTAGGAAGTAAACTCTGGCTTTTCTAAAACATAATAAAGCTATTTTTGTTCTCACATCCTGCAAATTCAAACCTTAAGGGATTGCTATAATCATATACATGTCTCAAAAAATAAATACAACCCCATTTCCTTATCTTATACATATGAATAAGATAACCTTGGAATTTATCATGAATAGAATTGCCTCAGAAACATTATTCCTTGTGTTGTTTGGTCTTAAATAAAAATAATACATAGAACAAAAATGCATTTTTTTTGCTTATTTTTCTCTAGATTGCTGACAGTATTTTAAACGACTATGGGTTCAGAACCCTTTAGATTCATCTCATAAAATGAAGTCAGAAAGTTACAAATTTAACTATATAAATCACTCTTTTGGGGCCAAATATAGTCCCAAGATTCTCACTTAGCCTCACTTTCCCTGAGGCACAGACTTTATAGTCTCTTAGTTTGCTCTATTCTTGCTGTAATAAAAACCCTAAGAGATTATCTCATTCTTCATAATGAACATAAAATTTGCACAAATTTTCATAGTTGCTTAAAACATGTTTAAGACATAAATCCTTTATGAAAAATTATAGACTTCTGAAATTCACATCTAGATATATTAGGAAGTAAACTCTAGCTTTTCTAAAATGTAAAAAAGCTATTTTTGTTTTCACAAAATAGGCTCGGGTGTATGTAAGACTGGTGAAGTCTAGGAAAAATAATTTAAGTTCAAGGCTATTTTTTTTAAACCAAAATGCTTCATATTCTGTGGAATCTCATTATACAGCTAAACAATGGAGTTTTATAAAATTGGTGTATCTTAGGCCAGAAAATAAAATGATGGTTAGAAAATGCTCCTCCAGACCAAATTCTGAGAACAGACTTCCAGAAAGAATGAAAAGTGTGTGTTCTCAATGTACCCTGGTAGTGGATGGATGTGAACAATAGGGGAAGCTACACGACGCTGACAACTTTCCTCTCAATCTAAAACTGTTCTTTAGATTATTAAAAAATAAAAGACTTAAATTAATTTTAAAATTGTATATTGTTAAAACAGAAAAAAAAAGTATTCTAGGACGAGCTCTAGGACTCCTATCACATGCAAACCATGCATGTGATGCAGTGACAGACAATAAGTATGACAGCAACAAGTATATGGTGTGTGTGTGTGTGTGTGTGTGTGTGTGTGTGTGCTGTGTTACTATCTCTGTATCTGAAATACATCAGAGGTTCTTAACCACTTTTAGTGGACCCGATGCTTTAATTGCAAGATCCAGTTTCACCAAACTTTTTTTTTTTAATATCTATTTTTTAGCTGTAGCTGGACACAATACCTTTATTACATTCATTTATTTTTATGTGGTGCTGAGGATGGACCTAGAGCACCCCGCATGTGCTAGGCGAGCGTTCTACCGTGGAGCCACAATCTCAGCCCCTGCACCAAACTTCTTTAGTCCAACATCTGGACCAGCCTCTGGCTTCGGGCCTTGGAATCCACCGTGTCTTTTTCTGGCACACGGCCCCCACACGCACCTTCCTCTGCCTTCACTTAGCTATGCCTCCTTATCCTTTGGGCCTCCGTTTGGATTCGTTTCTACTGGAAAGCCTTCCCTGGTGCTCAGGTCTGGGACTCCTAGAACATCCTGTACTCTTCCATCATGGCATTTATAAGCCTGTGATGTAAGGACGTGTTTACTGTCTCCATCTTCCTCTGCAGCGGGTGAGGTTTGTAAGGGCCAGATCTATTTTACCTCTAGTACCCAACAGAACACACAGCCCACGGCAGGCACTGCATCCATCCTGTTGACTCAATGAATGTTATGTGGGGTGTGTGTGTGTGTGTGTGTTTATGAAGTGCACCTACCTAGGATTAAGGAAGAAACGAGTCATGAGGGATACAGAGAACAGCATACTCTACCCTGGGAGTGACATATCTACGAACAAAAGCTACCACACAGGGTGGTGTGTGAGGAGTATTATCAGAGGGGTGCAGAGAGAGTATTTTGTTTTCTGGAGGAGGAAGAAAAGGAGTAGATGGAGAAGAAGGGGAACAATGGTTAGAGCCAGGTGGAACAATGGTTAGACCCAGGTCATGATGAGTTGTAAGTGACTCCTTTAAACCTGGTCTTGAAAGTGGTAGGGGACCATTGAAGGTCTCTGAGCAGAGGTGTACCCAGTCTTTGGACAGGGAGGGAGATTATAACAGGGGTGGTGAACAGAAAAATGGGAGGAGGGGAAGATCTGGAGGTGGAAAGACCAGCATCCGCTAAGGTAATTATTCTGGGTAGAGGCCAGAAGGTTTCAAACTGAGACAATAGCAGCAGGTTGAGGCTGGAAGGAGCCCTAAGTCAGAGGCACAGTTTCATGAATATTACTTGGTGGCAAAAAAGGACCATAGAACTTGTTGCCTATATGCTGATGAGGAGAAAGAAGGGAAGGGAAAATGAAAATGGTCATGTGCTCTAATTAAAGAAATGACCCAGGGATGGCCTTAAGATTAAGCAGAATTAATACACATTATACTATAGAATTTAAAAGAAAAACACTTTAAGGTGCTAAATTTGTCATTCGTATAGGGTCTTCTCTAAAAAAAAAAAAAAGTGTTCATAAACCTGGGTAGGGTTTCAGGACTAGGCACTAAATTAGAATTCTTCCAGCTCATAGTAACTGTATGCACACATGAAATCAAAGGTATATAGAGATAATAAAAAAGAAATCCACAAATCCCAATAGGATGCCTTTGTTTTCTGCACTATATCTCTATAATAAAAAGTTAAAGAAAAGCTTCTAGAAATACATAGAACTTTTCTTTAACAAGGACAGAATCTTGACTCTATTTCTTTACATTCTGAAATAGACAAATCTACCTTTTGCTGAAGTTTGTGGTATTTGTATCGAAATGATGTTTACCCAGGAAATGAAGAAGAGAATTTACCTAGGAAAATTCCAAGAGAATATCCTCTGCTTCCAATATCTTCTGTTTGGTCGTAATAAAGTGGGAAACATACTCCATTTTTCCCATAAAAGTTTCCAAAGTAATCCTCGCTCCAAAAGGGAATTACAGCAATTAAAAATCCCACGGTCCAGATACAAATGAGGATGACCGAGGTCTGCCGCTTCCCGGGACGAATGTTACTGAAGGGGAAGACGATGACCAGGAACTTCTCCAGGGTTAAGAAGGTTAGCAACAGGACAGAGACTTCGGTGGACAGCATGGCCAGGAACCCCATGAGGCGGCACGGTAAACTCTCCATCCACAGCAGGGCATACTTCTGATATTGCCCTCGGTATTTTATATCAAAAAAGCCAATGAAAAACAAGTAAATGCCCATCAGACAGTCAGCACCTGTGGACGAATCAAAGCAACCGATCGTTCCCAGCATCTCTCATGTTAATTTTCTGATTAGGTCTGTCTAGCTCCTTCAACCTGTATTAAATGAACTAGTGTAATCATCTACTGGAATACCAAGAAGCCAATGGACTTCAAAATCTATGCTATTTCTCAAGAACCACACCATGACTTTGTTTTATAATTAAAAAGTGGGGAGGTAGGACCTTTTTGCAGGGGAAGAGTTAGGTTTAAACCCTAAGCATGTATTACTGGCAGTGAATAAAAGGTATCATTTTCTGAGCTTGAGAAGTGTGGGTGTTACTGTAATTGAAGTTAATTAAGCTTAGTTTATAACCCACAAAACCATCTCCATAATCCATCACTTGAATTATCACTTTGTTTCCCCATTTCCACGAAATAAACTCCCAGGGTAGGTCATTATAAGATTATGCAAATTATAATATAACTATCAGGGCTGGGGCTGTAGCTCAGTGGCAGAGCGCTTGCCTAGCATGTGTGAGGCACTGGATTCAATCCTTAGCACCACATCAAAATAAACAAATAAAATAAAGCATGCCGTCCATCTACAACTACAAAAATATTAAAAAACATATATAGCTACAAAAAAACTACATTTATATATTGCAAATAAATTTTCCCACCATATATAGTTCATATTAGATGTCATTTGTTGAAGATCTCTCTAGACAATACATATGCCACATACTATATATCTCTAGCACACAGCTCATAGAAGATACCCTGTCTACTTATATAGGAAACATACTTACAACAAAGGATTTTGATGGACATAGCGTGAGTTGTATTTTCAGCTTTAATGAAAGATCTCATGCCAATGACAGAAAGATTTCCAAAGCAGGTAATGAAAGCTATAACCCAGACAAATATTCTGAGGATATTGTTAGCCAAGAGGTCCTCAAATGAAGAAATGCCGTCAGTCGAGGGCATACATATTCGGACATGGGGAGCATAGGAGCAGTATCGAAAGTTTTTGAAATAACTAAAGTCAAAGGGAAAAAAGAGTCACTTCATAGTAATGATACAGAAACTACAGCTGCAGGTAGGCAACTTCGCTATGTTTGTTTGCTTTTGTTTGTAGTGACTACCTAATTAGAGGGCTCTTCATTAAATAAGGTGTTACTCTAGGCAGTGTCCTCTTAGAGATAAGGAACCTAAAGGACATGGAAGTTCAGAAGTGGCTTGGCTGAGAGCCAGGGGGGTTATGGGAATTTGAAGCCTCAGGGGCTCTACTTTTTTCCGTGTTCACATTGGATTATTCTCTCACTGGGTATTATTAGAAGTAGATTATCATTGCTAAATCTAGCCGACATCCAGGGACTTGTGCTGGGGATGTAAGAATCCTACTGTAGCTTACTGAAAACATCCCTGATTTGTCCTTAGTATTAAATAGTGAGGTCTCCTTAAAGTGCCTCCTTTTCCCTAACACGGGCAGGTAAGGGTTGGTTTCTGAGACTAGGAAAATTCAGCCTCCCCAGAGAGGGAAGGAGAAGCAGCCGCCTTAAACACAGATTACTTACCAGGGTCTGGAAGCACTTAATTTCTAGAGGAAAATATAGATTTGTTCAGATTTGTTTGTGGTCACTGAATTTATGAGCTGGGGAATCTCGAAGTGTTGGAATTGGTGAGGTCATTTGGCTTATGGCCATCCCCCAAACCTGTGTGTTTAGGATTTTCTCCCATAAAACTAATTTCTTCTTCTTCTTTTATTACCTCTGTAAGTTCATTTCTCTGTTCTTTTTATTTTTTTTTTAAAGTCTAATCCTTTTTTTTTTTCTTTTCTCATCTCCCATTTTAGTCTCTACACAAGCCAATTAAACAAAGCTTTCCTTGGCCACAATGACATGGCCTTGGTGATGGGACCCTGGGCTGCCCTGAGCCACCTTCTGCTCAGAACAATAACTTCTTCTAGCCCTCACACAAGCCAGACTCAGGCCCTCCACAGAGTCTTGCTATTGCTTCTCTCTGATTGGAAGATTCTTCTCCTGGACATTGCTAGGATTGCTCCCTCCCTCCCTTCGTGTCTACTCAAATGCCATGTCACTTTGACTTCTACCTAAGTCATCTAAATCCTCTTCCTATGCCTTCTTCGTTTTGCTTTACTTATTTTTTCCTAGCATTTAATACCTGATTATTTATTTGTTTGTTCACTGAGGTTCTAAAGCGCCCCAGGACAGACATTCTCTTGTTCCTCACTGTGTTCTCAGCATCTAGAAGAGTGACTGGCACCTTCTAGGTACTCAACAGAGATTTCCTAGATCAGCACATGGGTGATGGATAATCAAGAGCTGGGTGTGTCAGGTAGAGACACAGTCCACCTTCCTAACATTTGGTGACCAATTAAAGAAACGTGACATAGGACTTTTATTTATTTTTTTCTTTTCCCTGACACACATTAGACCTTTTGGTTCTCTAGATATTCCATTATCTCCACTGTCTTCTTTAAGTTCTTCCACTGTGACCAGATAGCAGGTGGAAGGGGTGGAAGCGATGAGGTGAAGTTATTTCAATGAGGAAAGGACAGGGAAGATGAAAGAAATCGTCACTCATCAGGGAGCGAGCTAAGCTTATATTGGTTGGGTCCTTCCTGACCTTGACTTGAGGCCTATATTGAAAATAGAAGTTTCTCCATTGAATTCTAAAGCACCTCTATTCTAAGAACACCTCACCTCTGCCTGCAACAAGGAACTGATAGCCTCTCTAAATATTTATGTAATGGTGCCACAAGAAGAGAAATGAACAAAACCACGTGGGTATGCGCCAAACACCTGTCCATCACGCCTCTACTGTAGCACAGACTTAAACAAAATGTTCTCCCAAAAGAGCACCTTCACATCAACACTTTCATCCACTTGCTGCACCCAACTTGTGATCTTACGAGTGAGTCCTCCCTATTTTTGTGGATAACAATGGTTAATTTTTGAAATCATGAACATATAGATTATACAGTTGATAAAGAAATGATTATGTTATAAACACATATATTAACACAACTTAGTGCACTTTAGCCAAATATATTAAAGTGACTTAACAAAAACTACTAGAAAGATTAATTACCTCCATTTTGTAGTGCACTTAGTAACAGTAACAACACCTGGAATTTATATAGCATCTTGCTTCCTAAGGGCTCAAATCTTAGAGCAGCCGACTGCTCACTCATGTGAAGTGAATTAATGTTTCCAGGTCGCCTGAGTACCACTTAGCCAGTGACTTCATCTTGTGTAATATGTGGCATTCTGGTACCCTGATCTCTTATTGGGCCTCAATTGGATAAACATCGTGTTTCCAGAGAGAAGGGTCATTCATGTCGGCGCATCATAATATTGAACTCTATTTGACAGGGACCAAAGGTGACAAAATTAAAAAGTTCTCAATAAAAGACTTTTGTTGCATTAAAAACACATTGCAGTGATACAGTAGACAGTAGACAAAACAACATGTGAAACATTTCACTATGTTTTCTTGTCCATTCTTTCATACATACATACATGTGAGAAAGATTCCTCATGGGTTGGAATATTCCTGTGTTTATATTTGGAATCTCTATCCTTTCCAGGTCTCTGGAAAATATACACAATAGATTTAATGTTTCTAGGGTTCAACTTCATTAATAATTGCATTCTTTGTCAGCTCCTCCAAAGGTTTCAAAATTTTATGTTACCAGATCAAATTAGGAGGGAAATTTTAGAGTATGCTTTCTCAGAATATTATCCTTGGAGTTCGATTTGTCATTCACAGGCAGAACTACATTCCAATAGAACATTTTCATTCATTTCTTTGGTTTAAAGATGGCAAGGGACTGTCGACTTCGGGCCACCATAAGCTGAGCAGCCTTCCCCTTCCGTGCCCTTCTGTCATGATGTTCTGCCTCACCTCAGGCCTATAGCAACTGAGTCAGCCAACCATGGACTAAACCTCTGAAACAGTGAGCCAAAAACTTCTCCTCCTCTAAGTTGTTACAGTCAGGTGATTTTGGTCACAGTGATGGAGAGCTGACTAACACAACCCCCAGTGGCCCTCACTCTTACAGTGAATGCCCTCCCCTTGGAGTATGGATGGAGTCTGAGATTACGGCAAGAACTGAGTCCTCACTGGAGGGCTCATAGGGGGGTGTCATCTAGTTACATGAGTCATGTATGTATTCTACAGGAGTTCTTTAAAAGCTGAGCATTTTTTTTTCCAGTTGTTGGCAGTAGAGTAAAACCCTATGAGAACCCAGTTTAGGTGGCTTGTACTTCCAACCTACAGAACTTGGAGATAATGAAATGGAGATTGCTTAAATAAAAAAAAACAAAAACAAAAAACTAGTGAGGGGCTGGGTTCTAGCTCAGTGGTAGAGCACTTGCCTAGCAGGTGTGAGGCCCCGAGTTCCATTCTCAGCAATGCAAAAATCAATCAATCAAAATAGGCAGAGCTGTCTTGTGATTATGAAATCCGTCTGCAGTCTGATCTAATAAACAATGCCATGGAAGTTAGAAGGTTCCATTCAGGGCTGGTTCTCCCAACCTGTGAACATCACCAAAGTGAATTTTGTGGGAAACTGAATTTAACTCAGGCTGCTCAGGCTCCAAAGCCCAGCTGGTACCTCCACTCCATCCTGTCTCTCATGGGAAACTGAATTTAAATATCTATTTCTTCCCAGTTTATGTGTTGTGAGGGTTGAAAAGCCATGGAGGCAGCCAGAGTAGCTCTGGGTAAGGACAACCATTTTCTAAGATAAAAGTGGGAAGCATAATTCTGATTCCTCCACCTGTTGTTAGATACCCTCAAAGGGCTTCAATGAAACCGCCCAACTGGTTGTTTTTTTTTTTTTGGTACTGGGGATTGAACCCAGGGGTGCTTAACCACTGAGCCACAACCCCAGCTCTTTTTTTTTTATTTTTTATTTTGAGACAAGGTCTTGCTAAGTTGCTTAGGGCCTTGCTGAGTTGCTGAGGTTGGCCTTGAACTTATGGTCCTCCTGCCTCACGAACTGCTGGGATTACAGGCAAGCATCACCATGCCCAGCCCTACACAATTAATTTATCCAGAAACTTCTACAAGTAAAGACCCTCTTTCTTTAGACTGAAATAAGACTTCTTTAGGATGGTGTGCATTAAGAGCTACTATGTTTTCAGAAAAGAGATGGAGGAAGAACAATCTATAACAAAGGAAACTTTTGCTTTTAAAAATATATGATTGAAAGATGCCTGGCTTTTTCTCTTGTTTCTTTTTGGCGAATCTGAATAGGGATTTCTAATATGGTTCTGAGTTTCCCTTTGCCTATTGGGTCCTTCATAGAGGAGTCACCTTACTCGCTGGAACTCAAGAGAGCTCTTATACTACGGAACCAACATATGACTCTAGTAAGAAACTCTGAGCTCTTTCCAAAGGTCCTCACTTTCTTTCTTTTGCTCTCTCTGTTCCTCTTTGACTAATCACAGCTTTAGCTTTATGTGGATGATGTGATTGTGATTAATACCTTCTAATATCCTAAAACACAGAGAACTTAATCTTGCATTACTTTCCAATAAAAACCTATTCAACAAAAATAAAAAGTGATATTAAGGATTGATCTTTGGAATTAAATAAAGAAATGCTTCAGGCAGAAATCAGGCAATACTCTGTTGAAAACAAACAAATAAACATTAGCCAACAAATCGTCACCTAGGGAAAGAAATCATGAGGTTCAAAGAATAGTGGGTAGAGTTCTTGACACCATTGAAACCTAATCTGATTGATGTTTTAAGATACTAAACAACATTACTCATCTACATATTTGTGAGATAATTTTTTTACCTACTGAAAAGTAAAAATCTTGCAACGTAGACCGGTTTCAAGTAGCTTCTTACAGAAAAGGTAAAAGGGAAAAAGAAGGCAAGTCTTACATAATTTGTTTCTTTCCATAATTCTAGAAACAAAATTATTGCAAATTTAATTTTTTGTTAAAATTGTAGGATGAGATTTTTCCATAATGAACCCAGTTTTCAGGAAGAAGAGATATATGTTTCAAACACAGAAAGTGGCTTTGATACAACTGAATGGTAAAAAATGTGCCTCTGCTATCATTCAGTATATAATTGATGGTAGCCGTGGTATTCACAATCACCTGAGGGTGCATGCTCCTGTGTGTGAAACACCCATCTAAAAATCAATGTGTCTCTCAGTAAAATACATCCACTAAAATGATAATGGACATAATTGTGATATTTTACTTACAGAGACTGAAGTTGTTTAAGACTTCCAAACTGGTTCTTGTGGAGATACAAAAGAGGATTGGATGACAGGTTCCTTTTTTACCATTGGAGGAAGGGGAAGAGAAGTATGGATGTTATTATTTCGAAAACCTAAGATGTTGCCATTTACATCTGATGATCATGAGAAGAACTTACAGTTTTTGGAGAAGATTCAGGTCTTTAAACAGGTGGACTGGTAGCTCCATTATCATGTTGCTAGACAGATCCCTGTTGATGACAGTGCAAACCCAAAGCAATTACCTCAGAAGTAAGTGACACAGTTATCACTCTGCAGAGTTATCATCACCCCATTTGATATAACAGAAAATACGAATTCAATTTAATTAACCTGATAACCTGTTACACAACAAGGCCGTGTGAGTCAGCCAGATGGATGTATTTTCCACCACTTACAGGCTTGTGACATTTCTTTCATCCAGTTCCTGTCTGGAATTTCCTTTCACACCCTCTCCAACACATCCTGGCTTTAATATCTGCTTTGATTAATTTCCTCTGTTTTAGGTACTCTTTGTACTACCACTCATGCTCCTGATTCCTACGTGCTTCATGTATGTGATCTCTTGTTTATCCAAATAACCTTTTTTGAGGTCAAGTCTTGCGTCTTCTATTTATTTTGCATTCCCACTGAGACAATCCACCCACATCATCTTAAATGGACAAATGTTTACCTCTTAAATACATTCCTACATGGGACTATTTTTGTATAAGCAAATGAGAGTTTAGAATTAAATATGATAGCATCATTCAATCTGTGTATGCTGGAATCAGAAGAAATCAACACTGTTTAAGAACCCAGAATATCTTTCTGCGTCAGAGAAAATGTAAAAGATAAAACAGATGCACAATTGCCTAATTAAGAGTGAACAAAAAGTCTTAACTGTTCTTGACACTTTGGAGCTGCTGACGGAAATGTGGGAGTTACAGCTAAGAGTTCTTTCCTTAAAGAAGCTTTCATTTAGAGTAACAACTACTGTTCATTGGGGCCCAGTAGGAGGTAGCTAGGTCATTGGGGGCCTTATCCCCCAAAAGAGATTAAGGTAATTCTCCTGGGATTACAGTTAGTTTCCATGAGAGTGAGTTTTGCATTTTTAAAAATGCAAACCTCATCCCAATCCCTCTCTGGCTTGTTGTGTGTCCTAACATGTGACTCTTTCTGTACATGCTAAGTCCAAAATGTCATTTGCCATGATGCCTTCACTAGAGGCTGCATCAGTGGGGCTGCCTGATCTTGGACTATCAGCCTCCAAACCTTGGGTTAAATATACCTATTTTCTTCATAAACCCAGCATCAGGTACTTTGGTATAGCAATAGAAAATGGACTGATATAACCAGATTACAAATCAAGGAAAGAATGATGCAGGTGCAATCACAGAAGGGAAGACAGTAGGTAGAAGAAAGGAGTCATCAATCTTGGCCTGAGAAATTAGGAAGTGTTTCAACAAAGCTCAATGATTTTAGGTGGGGTAAAAGATGAGCAGCTTTTTTAGGTGACAGTAAAGTGTGACAAGAGAAACAAATTCTTGGAATTGAATGTTGTCTTTAGGAGTCAGCAAGTGGTCCAACACGGGTAAAGGAGAAACAACGTGGGGGAAACATAGTAAAAGCCAGCCTGGAAGTTCTTGGAGACAAGATGGGAGGGTTATGAATATGCTCCAAGGCAGTCTTCTGCAGAACATAGTCCAGGCATCAGAATCACTGAGGTTTCTTAGAAAGATCCCATTTCAGGTACCCAACCCAGAGTTACCACATCAGAATCTCAGGGAGGAATCCTGGTAACTTGGATTTAAACTAATAGACCTGTGATTCCTCTGCACATTAACATTTGAGAGCCATGTGAGGCCAAACATCAGGCAACAAGGAGTGAGGAGGACATTGAGCAGGATAGTGGCATCTTAAGGCTCTGAGTCATGGGATGACAATTACATCTGGACCAGAAAGAAAGGCTGAAATGCTAGAAGAGAGAATCATCGAGGTAAGAGGCTTCTTTATGGCCAGGTGAGAGCTGATGAAGACTTAACAGGGACATTAGCATGGTTTGAGGTCTGGGAAAACTTAGCACATTAAGAGGAAAGCAGACGACCAGGGAGCAGTCTTCAGGCTTGGCTGCCAGGGAGGATGCTACAGCCACGTGATGGCAAGTCCAGGTGAAGGAGCTGGCAATGGGGTAAAATGTGCTGTTACTTTAAACAGTTTGCTTTGGAGGTGATTTTCATGACATCCGAGCACCAGGTCCTGCTAGGTAGGAACTCTAATCTGGAGGTCCAGAGAGGAGGAGCATACCTGGATCAAGGCCCGAAAGGAGAGCCACAGGTGTGTGTGGGCCAGAGAGAGCACGGCAATAGAGCAAGATGGTGGTGATCTCGTAAACCTAGACACTGTCCTTGAAAGTGTCAGATAGAAAAATAAAGTGCACTCTTCTGGGGGAAAGAATTGAGGGGCCTCATGTACTTATGCTTATTCCTCCCCAGGAAGAATTTGATGTTATGATGGCAAGTTATTCAACACTTGTAGAATCAAGACTTGTAGACCTGCCTTGTTCAAGTTTAGTCTATCGACTTCTGAATTTTCTGAAGCTCAGAGCAAAGTGCATTGAACTGGATAGTATATTGGTGGCCTTAAAATCAGCAAGCTAGTATCTCTTAATGGGGGGATCTATCGACATATAAAATAAGATGAAGATTAGGGCAATTTTCAAAATAGAACTCCAACTCACTGTTTCCTTAAGTTTACATATAAAATAAGCCCCTCTTTGTCTTGGGCTGCTGCCCACCCCAACCAGTAACCCAAGTCCAGAGCCTGATGAGGAAATGGCCCTTAAAGGAAGTCTGTTCTTAATGGGCTACTTTTAATTTTTTTTTGTCATAAAATAATAATATCTTTCATTATGCAGAGCCTTGCCTATTCTAGTTACTTAGTAAATATTTATGGATTTGATTGATCATAATTGTTCATGAATTATTTTTTAAAATTACTTTTAAAATCACATTTATTTTTTTCTCCCCAGTCCTTTCTGGATTAAAAAACAAGATGTAAAAAAAAAAAAAAAAAAAGAAGGGAGAAAGAGTTTTTTAAGACATGAATTTCCATTTTAAGGCCCCACTTAGAAGGACCAGTTCTTTACCCCAGTTGCTATGATTTTAAATTTAATAGATGAATGAATTTTAATTTCCAATGATAACCATTATGTGGGGGGGCAAAGCAAATGGTTTTATATTTATAAAACAAATATTTGAACAGAAAAAGTTACAGGAGTTTCTTGAATATTTTTCAATGAGCCCAATCCCTGTGCTACAAAAGTCATAATTTCTCAAGAGATAAGAATTTTTATTCCTCATGCAATTTTTATTAATATCATTTCAGTCAGTCCATTTTTCATCCAGCAAGCATTTTACTGAAAATTAACTATACTCCATCCATTAGATCTGGAAAACTCATTTACTCCCAAACATACATACTCATGAAATCACCCAAAGAAAATAGGTAGGGGAACTAGAGTAGGCTAACTCCACATTAAGCCCACTGTCTGATTTTAATGTGCTCTGACTTTAGGATAATGTTGATTTTCTTAATTGAATTTTAACATCCAATAGTCTACAGGATTTTGATTGCCACTAGTGGAAAAGCAGTCTCACTAGTCATTTAAGCTTATAATCCTGGAAGAAGCAATCATATTCTTCCTAGTAGACGATGCTACTTACAGTTCTCCTAAATTTTTTAATGAAGAAAATGTCTTCTCTGGAACAAAATCAATTTGATTTCTAGGCAGAAACCTGTAAGACATGGCGAGAGTCAACACCGTGGGTTTGCGTCTGCTGTCATAAATCAGTCATCGTTGGGAGATGCCACTGATCCGGCTGTAATCTAATAAGCCTCCTTTGAGATCTCAAAGGGAGGCATCTTCTGGTGTGGAACCTGAGGCAGCAATGCCTCCCTAAGTCTCCAGGAAGCGCTCCTAGGAGCAACTGGAGCTGCCGGTGTGGTCTATAAAGCTGCACTTGGTTTGGATTCTGATTATTTTAGAAAGTGTCTCTTTCTAGTCTTTCTGCATCATTCTTTTCTCCATTCACCCATTCGATCAGCAATCGTTACCAAGTGCTTACTATCTGTGGAAAACCATAATTAAAACAAACACAAAATACTTGTGTTTTTCAGCTTACCAGTGCAAAATGTGCCAATTGACCAATCCTTCTGTCTTCCCGCCCCCAGAACAAGCATAAGCAGCATTCAGAATCACCAGTCAGAATCTTTGGCCAATCAAATATGTTAGGTTATTTTCCCTTTAGAATAAGATCATATATATATGCATATAATTTATTTTTTCTTTAGGAAGAGAGATTTCAAGTGATAAGAGTCTTTGGCAGTAATAGCTAATCCTTGCACAACTAATCATATTAACATACATGATCTCATTTCACTGCCAACCTTTGGGTTAGGAAATGAACTTTTGGGAAACAGGGCAGCTGATAGTGTACACAGAAATGACAACTTCCCTCAGGATCAAGGAGCCAGCGGGAGACCCCTATGGTGGGCAACTTAATTGAAGTCTCAGCTCCACCATCAAAATCAATAAATCAACCTGTGCACTCTCTACAGCAGCTCCAGACCAAGGCTGCAAACAAAACCCTGCCTTAACCTTCATTGCCAATTGTTTTCTTTGAATTTCCAAATCTATCAGGTCTCTCCTCATTTACTGAAGTTCATTGGGTACTTACAGCACAGTGAGCGCATCGCAGGACAGAAAGGTGGAGTTCGTAAGATACTTGATTCGATTGCCTTCCAGGTCCCTGAAAGTCATGGAGGGAAAGTATCTTGAGTATTTTTGTACAAATCATATATGGACAGATACATTTTGTTGACATAGCTGTTCTGAACTTTGTTTTTACTCCAATTCAAAATTTACTGTTTTTCTTGTAATTGTTGCAGGGCTATGTAATTTATAAATGCCTCTTTTCTCTTTCCAGTTAATGTTAGAGCTTAATAAAATTGAGGAAAAGGGCAGCCTAACATCTGCTGAGTGTCTCTCTGTTCTGGACACCATGTTATCAATGATAATATTGTCCAACCATCATATTCTGCCTCAGGTGCTATTCTGCAATTAATGCTTGCTTAGAGGTTCCATTTCCTCCTGGTCATGCATTGTAAGTGGTAAAACTGACTCAAATCAGAACTGTCTGAATCTAAAGCCCAGACATTTAACTATGCCCTGGGTATCATGTATTATTTTATTCTCACATTCTTTCCAATATCAGGTAGATACTTTGGTTCTATATTCCTGAAGGAGAGAGTCAGCCTAAAAAGTTATCTTGCACATACTGAACACCAGTGTCAGGCTGTGGGCCTCCTGGTCTGTGTGATGCCAAAGCACAGATTCCTTCCCCTATAACTTCAGTGATGCCATGGTCCAGTGTGTTGGCACTCATTGTGTGGCAGGAACACAGCCTTGGCACCACCTAGGAGTGTATTACAATGGCTCATTCTCGGACTCCACCCAGACCTACTGGATCAGAAACTCTAGGACAAAGTTCCAGCCCCCTGTGTCTTAGAAAGTCCTCCCGTTGTTTGTGATTCCCATTAATGTCCACAAAGCACAGGAGGAAGATGTCATTCTGTCAGGTGATTCCTTAGGACAGTGGCATCCCATATACCCTGGAAATGCCATCCAGAACCTTTGTGAAAGGCAGTCTTGCTTTAAGCAGTGCAGGGGAGAAAAAGAAAAAGTCAACTTTCCTGCCAACTTATATTTATAGTCAACTTCCTATAAATTCTCCAAATAGGACAATAGCTACATTTCTGCTTCCGAACTCTTCTCATGGTCACACTAAAATCATCCAACTCTATATCATGTTCCTTTAAATCCAATTTTAAAACCTTGTGGAGATTTTTGTAGGAACTCAATATTATTTTTCCATTTGGAAAGCTGTGATTAGGTACAATAAATGCTATATTATTTTCGATGTCCAAGTATTGCTGAGAAAAACAGGAAAATGTCTTTCACGTTCTCACCCTTAGAACACTTTGGAGTCATGAAAGCAACTATCCCACTTGAAGGCAAGTGAAGAGGGAGAAGAGGCCAGACCAGTGCAAGTTTTCTCTTGCCCTTAAGTGGGAGCAATTTGTATCTGACTTCTCACTGTTCTATTTTCTGGGCATAAGGACTCTTTCTCATTTGTGATCAGGCCATCTTGCTAAATCTGTATTTTCACTGGGCATCTATTTTCTCCCGTGGTGGTTTTGGGAGCTTACAGTGACAATGAGCATGCCGGAAACTCGGGCTCTAAGGCTGGCTCCTGATCTCCTTGCTGTCCTTCCTGCCCAGTGGCTGGGAGGCCAAGCAGGCTGGGGCCCTGATATTCTCTTGCTCTTTCCTGTTTATTTCTCATTGTGCAGAGGTTCTGTGCCTAAATACTTTCCCACTTATTCTTAGTTTTCTTCTCATGCTTTTCAGACCTTATTTCTGCTTTTAATAATGGCACACTTTTATGGATCCCCTAGTATTTTAAAAGGCTTTTGATAATAGATATAAACTTAAGTACATAGAAACAAAAGTGAGTAAACACAATACTGCCTAATAGAGTTTTAACAAGAAACTTTCAGTTCAGAGAGGAGTATCATTTTATGGGTACCAGTCCCTCAATTGGATTACAAGAGGAGTTCTGGAGGTTGGTACATTCCCTATTTTTACAAGGTGGGAAATCAATGGCTGTACCAGCCTCGCTGTTGTAGGAGACCATTAAGATTCACATGGCAGAGAATGGTGGGTAGTGGTGGTGAGGCCATAGTGTAAATTAAAGGAGTGTTTTATGTATGAATAGCTAATAAGAAGTGGAAATGGCATGGCACATCCATCAAAGGTTTACTGAGTACCTACTGAGTCCAAATACTGGGGTACTGAAATCAAATATTTCATTTCTGTCCTTAAGGAACTTAAGAAACAATAGAGGAGAGATGAACAAGTAAACCAGTGATTATATGATCATATACCCTGAGACAGCTGGGAGAGGTAGAAAATGGGGGCACAGTAGTTTTGTAGGAGGCGCAATGGAAGTAAAAATGCAGCCACGGAAACTGGCTGGAATGCCAGGAACAGAGTCCCCAGAGGTGATATTTCAGTTGACTTTGGAAGGAAATGTTGGAGTTAGCCAAAAGAATAAGGGAGCCAGAGCTTTCAAGTTCAAGGAACAGAATGTACTTAGGGAATTGGTGGCAGAACCAGTGGATCCGTAAATCCGGGAGGAAAGGACATTGGCGGAGGGGCAGGAAAAGAGATTACATGGGGTAAGAGATAAAAAATAAAGGGTGTTGGGTGCTCAGGGGGAAGGTCGAATGTCACTCTTGCACCTTTGGGAGCCCTCAAAGGATCTTAAAACTGGGAAGTAACATGATTAGATTTTTGATTTTGGGAAAAAAATTAAAAATGGACTTTCATGAATGAACTTCGTGGCTAGTTTTTGTATTCTGGAGAAATAACAAATTAAACCTTGAATGAATACTCACATCCAGTTGAGTTGAGGCATTTGGGTGCACATCTGCGTGGGAAGGGCCTCTAAGTAGTTATTAACCATAGATCTTTACATAAAGAAAATATTAGTTAGAAACAAAATTATATGCCATCTTAAGAACAGTATTTTTACTATTCCACAATTTAGAGATTTGCATGCCAAAATGAATACGAAGAATGAAGACTTTATACATAAAGACCCCTTCAAAGTGGTCTTTAAATAGGTGATTGGCAAGAACTAAACAGCAGATTCAAAGAAGCCATGAATGAGATATATCCTAGGCATAAATATGATGTGAAACAAAAGCATGCATATAGTAGTGACTTTGAAGTTCATGATCATTTTCCATGTATTCCTCAAGTTTGCAATCATTTCCAGTGCCATAATCCAATGTTTCTTCTTAGGGGAAACATTAATCATTTGTAACATTAAAGGGCCATATTTGAAACCACATTAAATTTAAGGAATGACAGTTGGGGAGACTTGGGAGAAAAAACAACTCAGGAACATGTGAAGTCTCACGATTAATTTATGACGTGGTGGTCCCTTTTGACAAATGGAAAAATAATGATGCCATATGATTAACTGTAAAGAAACATAATAATCCCCTGCAGATGAATCATTCCAGTATATTAATAAACAGCAAAAAACATAATTATGAGAACAGCTCTGTTGGCGGGGCAAAGATTCTGGAATTTCCAGTGACTGTTGCTGAACAAAAGCATATTTTTCTCTATTAAATATGAAGTTGGAGTCAGGCTCCTGGAGATCCTAATAGATTTAAATGTAATTAGGATATAATAAAAATGAATAGGATACAAAAATGAATCTTTGGTCAGCTACTACAAATAAAAACATGCCTCAGGACTTTAAGAAATGGAAGGGGATCCAAAAAAAAATGTCAACTAGTAGGCTTAAAATATACATTATAATCTAGTCAGCTGTTCCCTTTGAGCCATGGGCAAGAAGAAGGAACACAGGAAAGGTTATGACTAATAAAATTTTTAGTGGATTTGAGGTTGTTTTAAGGCTTTTTCTGTAAGCTAGTGTTCGATTTCATTGCAATTTGCAGACAGATATATTGAAAGAGAGATGAACACTTACAGGAAAAACAAGGAATTTAATCCAGTAAACAACCGCTGAGAAATCCTGGTTATTGGATTGTCGTCTAGAATTCTGACAAAACATATCAAAAACATTTCCAATGTTAGACACACTTCTGAAATAAAACCAGAAAAATAAATAAATAAATAAATGGTCCATTCCCTTCTTGCCTCCTCCAACATCTGGCTTACTCCTCCTTGTTCTTCCACATTTGGCCCACGTATCATTTTCCTGAAAGCTCTTCCTTCACCCTGTAGCTAGAATATCACTTTCCTCCAAATTTCTGCAACTTCCATCCCATCACTTATCAAGTTGGAGCCTGATGGTTTGCTTTATTTCCCTGTATCTACTTTCTGCTAGACTTACAAGCCCAGGTATTTTTATTCTTTATCTCGGAGAGCCTGGTCCAGCATAATTCACACTTATTGGCTCCATAAATGCTTTGGCTATTTGATTGGCTGAATGGAGAATGAATGCAAAAATAATCTTTAGGAAATTAACAGATGGCTCTTTGGTCTCATGATGTATTTAACAAGGTCTGTACAAATGAATGAACGGATGTGATAACTATTCATAAGGACTTGGCAGGTGAAAGAGTAAACATATTTGTATATTCAAACTACTGTCTTAAATTATATAGAGTATTTTTTTGTCTTGTAGAAGAAACTAGACTACGGGGAAATAGGTCACCTTCTCTCTTGTTGCCTTTGAAGTCAGGTGTTATTTCCTAGTATTCTGAGGAGTCCCAAAGGTAGGAAGTAGAAAGGGAGTTACAATAAGCACCTACTATGTGCCAGGAGTTTTGCATGTGACATTTTATGTGTATTATCTGATTTAATCTTCATGACATCTCTCCTACAAAGGAATTATGATTATAGTTTACAGATAAGAAAAAAGAGACCTAGGTAGATTAGGTACATTGCCTAGGAGATTAAGCACTGGGTCAGGCACACACAAGTTCTGGATGAAGCCAAATTCTTGGCTTTTTCCACTGGTCCAGGACAACCTGTAGAAGATGAGCAAACTCACTCAAAGCCTACTATTGCCCTTTGTTAATTCTCCTGAAGAAAGCAAAGAAATATGCCATGAGAGTCCTAGAGAGGGAGCTAGTGGCTCAGTCTGGATAGTGGTGAAATGCCACAAATTACCATATTATCAGACTTCTCTGAATGCTCTGGGAAGCAGAATAAGTCCTTAACTTGCTTACTTTCTGGGTCAGTGGTTTGCAACAGAGGGCAATTTTTCCTCGCAGGAGACATCTGGCAATGCCTGGAGACATTTTTTAGTTGTCACAACTCTTGGAAGAAGAGGTGTCCTACTGGCATCTAGTAGGTAGAGGCCACAGATGGTGCTAAACATCCTAAAAATGCACCAGACATTCTGTTCTCCCTGTCTCCCCTGAATTAAGAATTATATGGGTCAAAATGTCAATAGAGTTGAGGTTGAGGAATCCTGCTCTTGGTGAACACTGGGGGAATGGCAGGCTGACTTGGCAAGCCTAATGCTTGGCATGCCACTGTCTAAACTGCTTGGGTCAAAGTGCTCCAGATTGTGTGCCAAGGAGAAACAGAATAATAAACAAGATACCTCCCAAAGTGGAAACAGCACTGCTGTGTATCATGAATACTGTGATCATTTATGAGGGAAACGAAATCTGGGATACTTACAGCCATGTTAGCTGATGCAAGTCTTTGAATACTCCAGGTCTGAGAGTAGTAATGCAGTTGTGGTTGAGATATCTACAAATAGCATGGGTGAGTTAATAACGCAAACTCAATACTCCATTTTAGTCTCATGTAATTAGAATATGAGCCACTGATGATGACTGTAAAGTATGGACATCTGCTTCTGAGAGCATTTTGCTGGCTGAGCAGAGGGGAAGACACCCAGGGATGATCAGAAGTTACAAATAACCACACGTTCAGTGTGTTCAACACGAGGGGCAGGGCAAGAGAAGTGGCCAAAAATAATGCTCAGGGTATTGCATTATGGTAGAATATAAGAGTACAATAACTAAATATGTGGGTCAATGTTTGTTTTTATTCTTTTTTGGTCACATCCTTAGTATATTAATATTTTGGAAAGCATATAGAGATGGTTAGGAAAAAAATATTAAAATATTGTGGAAGTGACCCAAGTTGGAGAAAACAATGTTACAGAGAGTCTTCATATGTTTTCTGATAGTATCTAAATCTTTGAATAATTTTTTAAACATAATAATTAATCTGAGTATTTTGTGATAACCTGTTCCTCCTATTTCTCTACCACCAAGTCAAACCTTGAAAGCCTACCATTCTACCCTTTTAGTTTACTTAAATTTACACCCATTATTTAATCACAAAGACGTTACTCACAATATTTGCAGATTATATAATCCGAAAAATGCTTTCCTGGATATGTGTCTAAGGCAATTATGCTGAAGAAATCTGTTAGGAATAAGACAGAAGGATCAGGTAATTATGGTTTATGGGCTTTGCTAGTTTATTGAACGTGCTCTTCACTTGAAGACAATTTGTGCAATTGGCTTATAAAGCCCAAGGTCCTATTTGCATGTTGGGGGCAGGTGTTGTTAAGTGAGAGATGGTTTTGAAGTAAGTCAATGCCTACTGTCTGATAGCACCTGTGCAATGAAATTTGGGCATCTCTGATTTGTACTGCTGAACTCTGGGGTGATATGTTGTGTCTGGGTATAGTCCTATTTCTACAGGTTGGAGCTATGGCAGCCTCTTGTTCTGACTGGCAGGAGTTACTGGCTATGAGAGACTAGCCAGCCTTTTCTTCGAATTTCTCTCTCAGCACAGAATTCAGTCTTTAACTCCTCATCCCTCCTCATTCTATTCCCATGAACAAAGGAGGTGGCCAGTTTTATTCTTTTCCATTTCAAGATGCAAAGTAAGAAGCCTAATGTGAGATAGTGAGGTGCTCAGGATTCTACCCATCATTGAACTGGGTCTACTGTGCCCCCTCAACTCACAGGATTGTGATTTACTTCACCTCTGAAGCAACTTAACAAACAATATCCTATTGATTCAGTAATAGTGCTTTCAGGATTCTCTGAGTATATAATTCCATCTCCTAGAAATAAGACAAAAGGAGGCGAGCCTTGAATTAATATTTTCTTTCTTTTTTAACATATATATTTATTTTTTAGTCATAGGTGGACACCATGTCTTTATTTTACTTTATGTGGTGCTGAGGATCAAACCCAGTGCTTCACGCATACTAGGTGCGTGCTCTATCCCTGAGCCACAATCTCAGCCCTTGAATTCATATTTTCTAAAGGCTTTCAGGGGCAGGGATTAGCCACACAAATAATAGTAACTAATTAACACACAGTTTTCTGAATGGTTTTGATTTCTCTTGTTTTGATTTGAATTGATTCCTCAAATATTACACAATATTGTCTTAATTGTCATGGTACTCTACTGCACAGTATAGGCAGAACATGTGCTTATTCCGTGTCTGGTTGCACTTTGAATTTTCTTATAAAATAATTATTCCCTAACAGAGCATTCCAGCATTTACCTTCGAATCATGAGTGTGGTACAGAGGTGCTAAGTTATTGACAGCCTTAGATCTCAAGGTAGCCCCGTAAAGCCAAGGTTAGCTTCCAGTTATTAGCAAACCCATTCTTTTAGCCCAGTATAAAAAATGTCATTTTCCTGGTGGACCACCATGTGGAAAGGGTTGGTACTACAGAGCACGTGTATTACATCTATAGTGATACACAGAACATCAATTTCAATGCTGAAAATAAACTTGAAACTCAGTGTGACCTTGTGCCCTCCCAACCCCCTATCCCCTGCACCATGTCTGTGGCGAGATGCTTCATAATACAGCACAAATTCTGCTGTTGGATTATGGTTCTACTATGAACAGGATGAACCGACATGGATCAATATCTGTTTTAGCATTTTCAGAGCCCTTGGACTGATGTAATGAAAGCTAATATGGTGAATTAGGTTACAGAAGCAAATGAGAATAGAAAAAGAATATCATACTCCAATAAAGGTATATTGAACTTTCTTTTAAATATAAAATTCATTACCTAACTAATGCTATTTATGTTTTATTTGAGATGATCAATCAAAAAGTACAATGCATATTTTACATAAATCTTAAGGGATAGGTACATTTATAATCAATTGTGAATTTGACCTTGAGTTTTTCTCTTAGTAGTCAAAGGCAATAGGAATAAAACCAATGATCTGTATGATTCACCTGATGTGTACAAACTATCTCCCTTCACTGATGTCACTTAAGCTCCTTAATTAATAAAGAGCCTCTACTCCAGTTATCTGCTTAGCTGGCTGGCTGCCTCCACATTCAGACCTCGAGTCTCAAGTCTCAGGTCTCAGGCATAGGCTGCTGAACTTAAACTCCATCTTCAGTATCTACTTTCTTCTTTGCAGAAGAGTAGCTTAGAGAATGAGAGGGGAAATATGGAAACATGATAATTTGGTGAGTGGCGACCTCCTCTTAGTCAGAACTTAGATATGAACCCATTTAATACACTTTACACTGAATGGCTTTTCTAAGAATAACTTACTGCTTCATGAATTCCTGCTGTTTCAGCTGTCAGAATTTTCAAGCAGAAACACCAGGAATTTATGTACCTGAAACTAAAGCAAATAAATGCTTTAAAGACATGCATAGGCTATTTTTTTAATGTGACAATTTGTATTCAAGAGCCAGGCAAACACCTTGAATTACATTTTGTTGCCAATGATTGCATTTAACAACAATCCAGTTGAAGAAGGAATTCCTAATTTTTATAAGGTTTGTGTTACAATGAGGAGGAGAACTGCTGTTGGTTTCCATGGTAGCAGTGATAAAGTATTAGAGTCAATCCCATAAATTGTATTTTATTTCTCTGAAAGGTCATCTGAAACTGCCTTTTCTTTCTCAACTTTATTTAGTAGGTCCTGACATTTTAAAAGATTATTAAAGTGAATAAATTGACCAATGATAAAAGCATTCAGAACAGTTAAACAACATTTATTCATCTGGCAATTAAAATTTAATTTTGATTTAGGCATTTATTTTACCCAGTGCCTACCCGACCTCAATTCTACTGTATTTAGAACATTCCTGACTGGGGACTTGCTTGACATTAAATTCTGTACTCTCTTAGGATAAATTTCAATACAGCCAAAATATGCAGATGAACTTTACTCACTCAATAGACTCAAAAACAGGTTTTTGCATGCCTTTCTCTGCTAAAACCAAATCAAGTCTAGATTCTTTCACTGGTATTCAGTCTCTCCGATTATGATTAAGTGACCTCTCCAGAATATGCTACATCTTCTGTGGAAATTCGTTTTCTTTAGGCAAAATGCCCAGTTCACCCTTTTCCCAGTATCCTTTTAGTGTTCTTGGTTTATATTCCTTTGTTCTTTCTTCTAAATCTGCTCCCTACCCTCTCTTTAGTCCTGCATGTTGGTCCTCATTCATTGGGAAAACACTGATCCTCACAATGTCCATAAGTATGTATGCTATAACATCCACGGCAGGGGAGTGGGGTACTATATGGTACTGTGCGGACCCAGGAGGACCTCCAACTCAAAAGGCAGCTATGGTGGCCCAAGAGTGCTTCCTTCACAAATCAAGGATGAACGTGAGGGTTTCATGAAAACGAAATCATAGTTGACCCACGGCATGTTAAAAAATCAGAAAGAAAAGTACTCTGTGGGAAATAAAAATGTACTTCTGGTGATACTGTAGAAGTAAGAAGGTCTTTAAGAGAAGTGTAAGCTGACCTCCTGGGATTTGCTTATAATGTTGTGAGAATGTAAAGAAATAACCAGCTGGGCACGGTAGTGCATGCCTGTAATCCCAGCAGCTTGGGAGGCTGAGGCAGGAGGATTACAAGTCCCAAGCCAGCTTCAGCAATTTAGTGAGGCCCTAAGCAACTCAGTGGTTGCTTAAAAAACATAAAAGGACTGGGGATGTGGCTCACTGGTTGAGTGCCCTTGGGATTAATCCTCAGTAGCAAAAAAAAAAAAAAAAAAAAAAAAAAAAGGAAATAACAGCATATTTCTCAACTCCTACTTTGTCCCTGTCTCTCACAGAAGGTGGCCTCAGGACTGAGGTGAATTGAAAGGCTGTGGAGTTGGGGTAGGGAAAGTCCAAGATAGAATTTGTTAACCAAAAGGAAATAAAGCCCTCTAGTTTGTACAATTTATCTTAGCAATCGAGAAACACCAAAAAAACGAGAACATCAAAGCAAGACAAATTCCAGAGGAATCTGGAGCAGCTAGAAAATTAGAGATGGCCAACGTGGTTCTGATTTTTCAGAAGGGGAAGTAGTAGGTTTTACAAGTTATGGTGAATGAGCTCCAAGCAGGCCTGCTGAGCTCCTAGAACAGGCTGTTTCAATGTTGCTTTGCGAACATCTCAAAAACAAAGTGAACAGGACGGTTCATGAGAAACAGGGCGTGCCTGATTAACTTCAATTTCTTCTTTGAAAGACTGACCAGAAAAAAACATGGGATATATACCAGTAAATCTATCAGGCACTGATCAAGTGGTTTGTGATAGACAAAATAAAGAATTATATAGACCTTATCAGAAGGATGATGATGAAGGACATGTAAAGATAATTTGGCACTGTCTTCTTCAATATTTTACTTCATTACTTGGTTAAAATATTGAGTTCATCTTATTTGCAGATCACAGAAATCTGGGAGGAATAGAACACACATTGGATGATCCAAAAAGGATCATCATTTAGTAAGAAAAATTGAATGTAACAGGATGAAGCTGACTAGTGATACATCGAAGGACCCAATAGTGCCTCTTAAGTGCTAAGTGTACAAGTACAAGAGGGAGCACATGCAGCCTCAGCAGTGACTCAGATGGCATAGAATTAGAACAGTAGGGGCAAGATCCACAGGAGTTAAGGCAGGTAGTTACCAGGGGTCTTCCACATGTCATGTAAGCACTCTACCACTGACCCTAGATCCACACTCTACATTTAAAACTTTGTTTCTTGACTCCTTTTCTCCATTGTAGTTTAAGCTCCACAAAGAGGGGGCTTTTCACCCATGTTGTTGACTGCTGTATGCTTAGCGACTGGCCCCTTGAAGGCACTGATATTTGTTGATGGGATGAACGAACAGGTGGACTTTGCTGGCCTTTCCTCTCCTGTTATCCATCTGGCTCCTCCCTTTTCCTGATACCAGTTCCTGGGGATGGTTGGGTATTTACTATGTTGGTTATTTGGGCTATTGTATGTTGAACTGGGGAGAAAAACCAAGAGCAGTAGAATAAGAGGGACACAGTGGAATTGGGGCAGGGGGAGCTTTTTCTGGGAGTTTGAGGGGGAGTGGTAGGAGGAGCTAGAAATGAAAGGAAAGGGGATGGGGAGGAAAAGAGGTATAATGAAGCGTTGCTGACTTCTGTGCTGCTGTAGGATATTTGAGCAATGCTTGAAAAGGATGTGAGTTATTTTCAAATCAAAATTTGGTAGTGGATGGTTTCTTTTTTTGTTTCTCTTTTTTTTGGTACTGGGGATTGAACCCAGAAGTACCTAACCATGGAGCCACATCCCCAACCCTTTTTATATGTTATTTAGAGACAGGGTTTCACTAAGTTGCTTAAGGCCTTGCTAAGTTGATGAGGCTGGTTGGAATTTGCAATCTTCCTGTCTCAGCCTTCCAAGCTGCTGGGTTCATAGGCGTGCACCATCACGCCAGGCCATAGATAGTTTCACTGATGGAAACAATACTCTTGAGATTGGATCATATGGGCTAACGCTTCCTAAGGAGCACAATCAGAAGGTTTGAGCCAGCTGTCTGACTCTGGACAGACAACCTTTCTTCCAGAATGGGATCCTTATTCCTACCCACCTCACCAACTTTGAGGACCAAAGCCTAAATAAGAACTCCAAATACTAGAATTCTTCATAAGCTTTAAAAAGTGATATCTAAATGAAAGGAATTATATTTCATCCCCTGTGCTGTATCTTGTATATAATAGACACTTAGTGTTTCTTGATGAGGGTCTCATAATCTCTTTTCTGTGAGATTCTGGGAGAAATAAATCACCTAGGAAGCATTAAATGCAGCTCACATGGAGAGAACCCTGCTGGCTAATGTTCAGGTCATGATGTGGTACCTGAAATTCTCAGACAAGGTAGAATTAAACATTTACTTGAAGAAGTTGCCAGCTGATCTTGGTAATGAAGGTTAATCACTAGGAAAATATAGGACTTGAATTACTCCAGTGCTTGAATTACTTAGTGGACTAGCAGTTACCATACAAGAAAGTATTGACATAGAACAAAGTATGATCATTGGACAGGAAAGGACTTTGCCTGAGAAATCTTATTTTACCTCTCCGACCTAATCCTCTAGTGACCCTTCTACCTCCCCAGAAATTGGCTTTCCCCACAGCAGGGGGCAAAAGATAAAAGGGTGAATCTGCATGGGTCAGGATAGTATGAGTTGGTACAAATATAGAACAGTTTCTTTCCATCTCTAGGTCTTTTTTTTTTTTAAATAAAAAATAAGCCCTGGTTTGAGCATGAGAAGACCTGGGCTGTAATTTTGACTCTTTCACTGTATGATTGTAGATCTTAGATGAGTCATTTAATCGTTGTAGACTTTAGCTATCTCATGTATAATAAGTGGATCTAATTAGATATTCTTACAGCTTCTATGACACTTGATGATAGAATTGGCTCAACTGTCCACAAAGGCCATGTGTTAAAGGCTTGGTCCCCAAGTTGGTGCTACTGGGAGTTGGTAGAACCTTTAGGGGGTGGGGTCTAGTTGGAAGTCTTCAAGTCATTGGGGTTGTTCTGTTGAAGGTGATAGTGGGACACCAGCTCTTTCTTCTTCCTCATTGTCTTTCACTTCTTGATGTTGATCATGAGGTGAGATGTGCTTCCACAATGATGTACTGCCACAGGCCCAAAGCAACAGGGCTGACCATTCATGGACTAAAACCTTCAAAATACATTTGTCATGGACTGAACCATAATATACCTTTTCTCTTTATTAGTTGATTATTCCGGGTATTTGTTATAGTGATGAAGAACTGACTAACAACTTTATCAGCTACCCTGAAACAAGATGTTTCCACCTTTTCTTTCTACTAGTACTATTTTATTGTTTCCCCCTTGAGCATAATTTCAGCTTTGCAAGAACAATATTGATTCACAGAATGAACATGCTGTGATTTTAAGAGTTTCCAGGAAGATTAGAAGCACTGTGGTTAAGATTTCCTCTCCAGGGGAGCCTAGAAGCCCAGAGTTAATGCATAGCTACACCAGTGTGACAATGACAATTTTACCACATGTTCTTGGATGGTACAGAAGTCCTAACTGCAGCTGGGATTTACAGAGGTGATCTTCAAACTCAGGTCTCATACAAGACCACCTGATGGACTTCCTTCACTGACTTCCTTTCTTTTATGAGGGAATCCGTCCTTGGGATTCATGAACGTGGAATCATTGTTGGTATTTCTACCCAAAGATTCAGATCATTTTTGTCTGGTAGTTTATTTTGCAAATTTCATACAGCTAGAGACTTTTCTTCTATGCCCCGTGTCAAAGGATAAAACACAAAGATGAAGATACAAGCATGCACAGCATTAGCCTGCTGATTTTGTTATCTAGACTAATGGTCCTATTGGCAGGTATAGCTCTCTAGTGCTCCTGGGGTACTGGCCAGACACTAACCCACCTTACAGAGGAATCATATATGAACCTGTATATATTTCACCTATTAAATATGAAAATGAGGTATCCCATTTTGCTGATAGGAATGTCCTTTCCCTCTATCCAATGCAACTTTTCAATTAAATTGCTTTGTTGTGAAGAAGATGGTAAGTTATTCATCATCATAAGGTTGCTTAGTGAGTAAGGTATCAAAGAAAACCGTATGCATAATATTAAGAGACAGTTCATGAAAACTGTGGTGGAGATTGATGATTCATCCCTAACCTCCAACAGAGACCACCTCTATATTTCCCAATCCCAGTTATCTTTCTTGGATGATGCTGGAAGCATATTTGCCCTTTCTTTCTCACTGAATTCTATATGCTGACTATGCACCACTACTTATTGATTTTCTCTTTCCTCAGATATGCTAATGTACTGTTTGTACTAGAAATGTGTTTTTGCCCCTATTACCCTGGGGAGGTAGTCTCTGTATCCTGAGTTTTAAGTGATTTGACTGTTGTTATCTATGCTTTCACTACAGTACATGTATTGCCTCTGCATTGTTATTTTCCAAAACTTCTTAAGGAAAAATATGGACCTATGTAATTTCCTATTGAAATATTTATCTCAACTCTAAGTTAACTCTCTGAAAAAGTTTAAAATAAAATCAGTTCAGCCACTTTAAATTATGGAGTGGAAAGATTTCATACTTTTAAATATTTTATTTTCTAATCTTAAATTTACAAACATAAATTAAGTGATAAAGATGATAAACTTCATGTTTCATTTTGTTTTTATAAGGATTTTTCCATAAATATGCTATTAATAGCTACTTACATCTTTTTAAGTTCTTTGTATTTGGTGAAAACTTTATCTGGAAGACTGTGGATTTTGTTTTTCTTTAGAGACCTAAAATAAAGTAAAGGAGACTTTATTATGGATTTTTATGGCCAACCAGACTCTTTTCTAGAAGCTGCATGACTGGGAAAAGAATATTTGCTGAGGTTCCATGGTACTAAACACACATTTGAACGTGACTATAACTGAAAACTTTTCATTGGAGAATAAAAATTCAGATAGAAAAACAAAGGTACAGTCATGTCAGCTTAGCCATGGGACATATTCCGAAAAGTGTATTGTGAGGTGATTTTGTCACCTGGAACATCAGAAAGTGTGCTTACAAATGGGATGTGTGAAGCCTAAAAGACATACTACTTTACAGTTAATTTTTTTAATAAGTAGAAGGGGTGCATTCTACAATGACAATATAAAGTATAGGATAGCAAATACTTAAACCAGTAGCACAGTCATTTATTATCATTATCAAGTGTTGTAGGTGATACATAATTGTATGTGCTATGCTTTCATATGAGTGGCAGCACAGTAGGCTGATTTACACTAGCATTACTACTAGTAGCTGTGCTAAGATATCACAATGACTATGGCATTCCCAGGCAAAGGAATTCTTCCGTTCTATTATGATCTTACGTACACTGTTAGACATGAGATCCTTCATGCATCGCATGACTGAAGTTTGCAAATATTTTACAAATTTAGCCAGTTAGTAGAATAAACGGGAGAATCTATGGTGATTCAACTTTTTCTTTTACTCTCTGGATAAGTTAATAAAACACAACAACCAAAAGCAAAACAACCAAAGATCCTAACTAACTCAAATATGCTCAAATGATGACGTGATAGCAGAGTTCTGAGGCTCTTGAAAATTTCCAGCAAAAAGCAGAAAAGTTTGCATGATATGATAGAACTAGCTCATTGATCTTTCATTCCATCTTGGATGAATTATAAACATTAACAATGAGATGGCATAAGTGAGTGTGTTTGCTTTTTAACATTTCAGCACAGGCAGATTAGTAGCAATACATAAATTACAAAATACATAAATCAGAAAATAATTAAAATAAGTGCTCCAGGTCTCAGGCATTTGTGAGCTGAATATTACCAGATCTAATCTAATGTACAGTGTTGAAAACATGTCCCTCCTATAGATGAAGCATGCAGAATTCTCTGACGACTGGTTTTAAATGGAATTTCTATTATTTTTTTTCTGATATAATTCCACTGGAAGGTTTTCTTGTGACTTTAGGGACAAATATCATCCCGATACTATACTCACAGTAGTGTCACGTTGGTGGAAATCACAGGCACAGACTGCAGGCCGGCATTTACACATTCCAATTCGGTTTCTTTGCAGTCACAGTGTTGTGGATACTGGTTTAAAACTAGGAGCAAAAAGAGAAAGGTTTTACTTGGGGCAAAAAATGCATTTTTGTATTTATGACTTTGTTAGAATAACAAGCTTTGTCCTCTTTTCATCAAATACATAAAATTCACATCTGTTAAATGGACTTATTTAGTGCATAATAAAAGCAAATAAGCATTCTCTCCTAGTCCATAGAGTATGGACTAGTGTGGTGTTCAACTCAGTTCTAGCTTTCAGTGGTCATATCAGAGGTGTTTAACAGGTGAGTAGAAAGAAGTCACAGACATGTTCAAATAGCATAGAATCATATGGTAAAGCAAGACTATGTTCTTGTCAATGAAATTTATTAGTATGATTGAATAAATCACAATGGAAATGATTGGGTCAGTTGAATCCAACAGCACAAAACAGTTGCTAATAAATTTTTATTGATTAAAATTTATCTCACATTATTTTTCCCCTGTCAGACTTCGACCTGTGAGAAGAATTAGACACAGATTCTGCCACAGCCACTAATGTGCCCTATTAAAATCAATCCAATCAGATATCCTTTCATTTTGGCTCTTTGGTTTTTCTTATAATTAATTTTTAAAATTTGTTCTTTTTAGATATACATGATAGTAGGTGAATTTTGACAAATTATATATACAAAGATTATAACTTTTTGGTGCATTTGTATGTGAACATAGGAAAGTTATGTGGTTCTTTGTTTTTCATTACCACGAAGTTGAAAGTAGAAACTAGAAGTCGTAGAAGTTGTTTACAAAAAATTAAAGTTGTGTATAGTTGAGAAAACCAAAGATCCATCTATCTGAATAAAGAAAATGTTTTCATAATTTCCTCCGAAGGAACTTACAGAATTATTAAGATAATGGCATACAAAGTAGTATGCCAAAGGAATATTTGGAGGGACAAGGCCGGGTTGGTCCATGGAACAATCACAGTGTGTGTACGTGTGTGCTTGTGTTAGAGTAAGAGACAGAAGGGGAGGAAGGGGAAGAGAATATTTCTGGAATCTTTGCTTTCTTCACTAACCTTATGGATATTGATTTGATGCAGTTAACAAAATGAGATTTGTGAATTTTAAATTTATATTTTTCATTATTTATTAAAATATGTCCTGCTTCTTTTAGATCACTTTTAAGACAAATGTTCTTTGAACAGTGAATTTAATAGCCAGAAAACTTATTATTGAGTACCTACTTAATGCAAAAGATACTTATAGTGTATGAAGTTTAGAAAATATTTTATGTTATCTATAGCAATATGCTAATTAGCTCAACTCTAAAGATAATGTAGGTATGATTAATTCAGTGTTTGTTCACATCAAGAAGATTAAGGTTAAACTTTTAGATTAAAAACCTGTGGTTAGAAACTCTTACTTGATAATAAAAGGATTTTATATGGTCAAGCTGTGTGTTGTCTAAACCAGAAATGTGGGTATAACCCTTCACCTTCCTGCCCTGCAGCCCAGTCTGCTTGCAGGTTCTATGAATTTTCTGAAAGGTCTCTTGCATCTCCTTCTACTTCACCTGTCCTTATGGCATTTTCTGGGCTCAAATTCGTAGTGTTTTCCAGAGCATCGTAATACACATGATAATCAATATCTCCTTTTTCATTCTTTCTGTTTAATCAGCATGATTAACATTTTGGCCCAAATAATTTTTTTGTTGTGGAGGCTGTTGTGGGCACCACAGGATGCTCAGCAGCACCTCTAGCCTCTGCCCACTGGATGTCAACACCACCCACTCTACTCTAGCTTGGATCATCAGCAATATCAGCCAATACTGTCCAACACAGTTGTCCCAGCTGAGACTTGCTGTTCTCACCCATTCTCTGCAACACTGATGGAGGAATTTTCCTCACATTTATTTCTGACCATGTGTTCTCTCTCTTTACTAAAAAAAAAGAGAGAGAGATATAAAACAAAAACCTAACCCAAACCAACCAAACACAAAGGTCCACAACTTGAGTGACTGCCCATGGGGTATAGCAGTAAGTTCCAAATTGGGATCTATATGAGTCAACCCCTTGTAGCTGAGAAAGAAAATATTAAAATTTTTAGTTACATTTATTCTAATTTTATCCTTTCTAATTTGTATACATTATATGCAATTAAGTATACAATAAGTGAGCTATATATAAACTAGCATTGTATAACATCCAGTCAGTCATCTCTTGATATCTGGGGGAGACTGGTTTCAGGAACCCAATGGATATCCAAATCTGTAGATGCTCAAATTCCTTATATAAGATGTTTCATTATTTGCAATAGAACCTACACACATCCTCTGGTATGCTTTAAACCATCTTTACATTACTTATAATCCCTTATGATACAATGTAAATAATTATTATATTGTATTTTTTAGGGGATAGTGACAAGAAAAAAAATCTGTACAAGTTTAGTACAGACACAATTTTTTTCAGGATATTTTAATTTATAGCTGGTTGAATCCATAATTATAACTATGGATACAGAAGACTGATTGTATACTGTTAGTATAGCATAATGTATATCGAATTACATATACCATATATAATATATGCATATAACATATATATGTTATATATATTATTCTATATGATATATAGAATAATTATATATAATATTATTATGTATATGTTATATATATGTTATATATATTATTACTGCTATGATGTGAAGCATGTGTGGGCTGAGACCACATCTTAGTTATCACTGTACTTCAATACCTAAGGGGTTAGAAAGTATTGAGTGCTTAATATCTTTGTTGAAGGAAATAATGAAAGGGAATGAGAACCTTACTGTTTGTCAAAACTATTTAATATTCATATATTCCTGTAATCATACACTAATACATAAAATAAACATGAGTACAGATGGTCATTTTCTTCTATTATTTTAGTCCCATGGACAGAGGGTAGACCAGTTGGTCAGCAAAATACATTAAACTGAAATTAAAATTCAGAAGCAAATTTATTGCACTACAGTAGTCCCCACTTATTCACAAGGAACACAATCCAAGACCTCCAGTGGATGTCTGATACCACAGATATTATGAAACTTTACACACACACACACACACATACACATATATATAAATCACTTTTATTCTAAAATATTTACTTATGGTAAAGTTTAATCTGTAAGTTAGGCCAGTGAGAGATGAATAATAATAAAATGAACAATTATAACAACATATCATAATAAAAGTTATGTAAAGGTGGTCTCTCTCCAAAACATTTTCATTATTATCTACAGTGCTGGGAGTCCAACCCAGGGCCTTGGGAATGCAGAGCAAGCACTTTACCACTGAGCTACATTCCCAAGCCCTCAAAATACTCATTTTAGACTGCAGTGAAACATAAAGAGGGGGAACTGCTGTACTCATAAAAATACACCCACCACAAGTCATGTTTTTTGAAATGCGGATACTGTCTTTGAACCAATACCACTTACAGCACTCCTGTGTTAATGTCACGTTATTAACATTTCCAAGGACTGTGCCAAATATGGTTGCCCATCCACTAGTGTCACCTGTGAAACGGTGATTAATACGTCAGTTATTCTAGAAATCAGAATCATATTATAAAACAAAAGTATAAAAATTTAATAATGAAATGAAAATTTGTTTAAGCAATAGAATGACCAATATTTTAAATACATAGTAAGAGAGAAAAAGCTAGGCAAGCATCTGTGGGATTTTCCTTTTTTATAATTACAAATATTTCAGATATATTTATCATAAAATGAAGAACACATGTATATAATTATTTTATATAAGTGTCTTGAAGATATCACCCATTTCTAATCCTGATATTTTAAGTGTTTGACCTTAATTTTGAGGACCTCAGAAGAAAATAAAATCTGAATTTTCTTTTTGTCATATATGTATACTGCCCCAGGTTTATGTAGACTCATGCTTGATAGATATGGTAGATTCTGCAAAATTTACATCATCTGAACTTTTAAAATTTTATTTTGTTTTGTTGCTAAGGATTGGACCCAGGGCCTTGGGTATGCTAAGCACATGCTCTATCCCTGGGCTAGCCCTCAACTAAATAACCTTTAGCAAAAAGCAAAACCAAAGTGCTCATTAATAAAGGGTAAATTAATTAAATTAATAAATTAATAAAGTCCTGTTGAAAAAAGTATTTACTCAATTTGCCATGAATAAGCGTCAATCTTCATATGTTCATATGAACTGTTTATTTGCCAAGTATCCTTTTTTAGTGATAAAATCACATTTTTTTTTTACAAAAAGGAGAATTAATTTTGAAGCATCATTACTTGAGCACATGCTATGTAAATGATAAGATCTGCTTTATAATGTATGATGCTTAAGTTTACACAAATCAAAAAGCAAATTTAAGTAATTGCCAACAGACTTCCTTGATCCCTGCAATCTTTAATTTAGTTCTGCTTCTGATTAATATCCTCTGTGATTCCACTATGATGCCTTCAATTGTGTTATAAGCACCTTCAGAGGCATTATTTAATTTGACCTCAGAACATTCTCATGAGGGAGATAAATACCATGTCCCTGATTCTCATGCAGCAAACTGGAGATCTCTTTGAGTGACTTGCTCATTGGCATCCAGAGAGCTGCCTCCAAAACTGAGCGCGTGATTAAGTTCCTACTGTGTCCTCTACTATTCTAGGCTCTGAGGACAGCAAAACAAGTGAGACGTGGGCCTCTTCCCAAGGTGTTTATGTCTAGAAAGAGAAACAGGTGAAAAGATAAGACAGGTCACTTCAGTGTTTGTAGAGATAAGCCCAGGGGGCTCTAGCAAGAGAGAGAAACTGCACCCATTCGAGAGTGAGAGAAGCTTCACTGGGGCCAACTTAGTGTGTCCCCTCTCAGGGGAGGGGACTCCTGAATGAGTCTTAGAGGAGAAGTAGGAAGGTGGGAAAAAGGGAAGATGCGTGAGTAACCCGGGCAGGAGGGTGGATGACAGACAGACAGCTGGCACTCCTGGGCTCTGCTGCCCTACTTTGATTGTTGGTTGGGCCTTCTATGGCAGAACACACACAGGATTCCTGCAGATTCAGGAGGTCTGTGTCTACTGTGGGACTAACTAGACATTGCAGACTCCATATCACTTCCCTACACAGAAAAATAAATGTTAATTTGGACAATGTTAAATTGGCAAATATATAGACCTAACATTGGCCTGTATGATCCAATGTGATCTGGCTGCTGTGTGCCTCTTCATCCCCAATGCATATCCTTATCTAGTCTGCTTATACCACCCTGGCTTTTCTATTCCTCAAACCTGTCATTTTATTTTGTTCAACCTCAGGGCCTTTGGACTGGCTATTTCCTTTGCCTGGAATTCTATATCCTCCAGAATGTTTTGTGACTTCTTTCTTTTGTTTCATTTAGTTTTCAGTTCAAATGTCACCCTCTTAAAAAGATTTTCTCTGCTTATATCTTTAAAGTGTTCTTCCCTCCAAGTCACTTCCATCTCATTGTGCTGTTTTATTTTCTTCATGGCTCATATCAGTCTGAGTATTTAAGTCATTAATTCAGGTTTATTATCTTCTTAGTTCACACTATCCATGTTCATATTGACCTTGACAAGGTCAAGACGCTTGTCTTCCTTGAGCTAACTGGTCCCAATGATTGGAAAGCCCCGGGCACATTGTCGACACTCAATATAGGTCTGTTCAGTCAATTAATTCTCTAGGTGACTTCATTCACATCTTATGGGTAGTCTCACAGCTGATTCAAATGACCAGCCACAGGAGGTGACAGTCATAGGATTCCTTAAAATTAAAATGAGTACTCAAGTAGATTTTTAAAATGCAGTTTCGATTTTCACAAAATATAACATTTCATAATCCTGTGTATCTCATTCAAGCAAGTTCTCCTTATGAAAATACAAGTCGTTACCACAAATTGGGGAGTATTTGCATTAAAAAGAGTTTGCTTAGGGAACACCAAATCATCTCTGCCAGGTCACTGCAGATCACTGTCCAGCTGGCCACAGTTCGGGGGCTCAGCAGGAAGGCACGTGTGCTGTGGGGGGATCTGGGGGTGGGGGATGGAGGTGGGGGTGTGTAGGGGTGTGTGGTGGCGGGGTGGGGGTGTGTGGGGGGTGTGTGGGGGTGGTGGGGATGGGGGGGTGGACTCGACATGGGACTACTCACCGCAGTTCTCCTCATCTGCGCCGTTGCCACAGTCGTCCACACCATCACAGTGAAAAGCCCGGGGCAAGCACTTGGTCAGATTCCCACAGGGAAAATACCCTTTTTGGCACAAAGGAGGGATTGTACTGCCTTGAGTCAGTGCGAAGTCTATGTGAAAGGGGGGACAGAAATCTCGTGTAAGAGAACCAAGTGTGACCACGGCCGAGCCCTTTCTGTCTCGTTGACTTTTTAAAAGAAGCTCAAGTTGCCTCTGTCTGCTCTTCTTGGTAGCCGCTGCTGTGGCATCCTTAGTGACACCGGTTTAACTGACGATGACCCACCCGGAGGTAACACACACTATCCCGAGAACGGGAACAAGGTTCATTTTGAATTTTCGCATTTCAGCTGAGTGATTTTAGCCAGAGCCAAAGGTATTGTCTGACTTCTGCTTGAAATCAGGGAGTGGTCCACAGTTGGAAGCAAAAAGGCAAAACCGTGAGTGAGTAGGATTGAACAGATAGATGGAAGGATCTGAGGTGAATTGTGATTAAAAAGTAGACATATGCAAAAGAACTGTTGGAGTATGAGGGAGAAATCCTGCACCCTATTAAAATTATATCTAACACTTATTGAGTTTACTGTGCACCAGGCACATTGCACAGTACTTAACTAAGCACTTTGCTAATCCTTCTTTCAGTCTAAGGGTGGGTGGTGTTATTCTTCATGTTTTAGGATAAGGGAAGTTGAACATTTTGCCTGTCATTCACCTAGAAAGTGACACAGGGAAGGTCTACCTCCTCTTAACCCATTGGGCTCAGAGGATACCAATCAAGTCTGGAAACTTCATTCCAAAAAGCACAAGCCCTCTATGAAGACGACTTAAAAATTATCTTCTATGCAGGGAACCTAAGAACAAGGAGAACTGCACACATTCTAGGTTGAGTAAAAGAGTACAAGAAGGAAATGCGATGAACACTTACACAAGTATTGTATCTATGGAAAGGATGGACAAAACATTTCAGAAATTTAGATGTAGGAGACATTCTTTCAATTGTAAGAGAGTATTTTCCAGAAAATAAAGAGACATGTTCTTTGTAAATGGACTTTATAAAATCATAGAAGTCTGTGTTTTTTTTTTTTTTTCTGAGAAAGGTATTCAAGTTGAAATTTCACAGAAGTTGATCTAGGGAGAAGGTGGAGAGGAATGGTCATAGTTCCTGAGGACTCACTGAAGGGAGCCGGACAGATGTTGGCAAAGCGTTCCCAGCCACGCCACTGAAGGCCAGCAGGGTGACCAGGAGTTTCTTCGGGCTGGTTCAGGGAATGAAGCTTTCTTAACATACCAAAGATAGAGAACAGACTTTCATGGAGCATCTACTTTGTATCCTGGGTCTTTCTAATTATTTTATTGCATGTCAATGGCGACTGTGCCTAAGGGTGTGATGACCTCTACGTAACAATGAGAGAAGACAAACTGGGTAACATAAAGGCACTTCTATTCTGGTTCTTGGGGAAAATGCCCTTGTGGGGCTTGGCCCTCTAGCAAATGCTGCCTTGAGGCCAGGCATCTTCTTCCAGACTCCACAGACTCTCCTAATGTAGGGAAAGCTGCTGGCCCTCCTGGTTTGACAAATGATGCATTTGGTAAAGGGCAGGAGCAGGTTTGGGCACTAAAGCTCTATCTGAATAGCAAATGTATGTTAAGCCTTCAGTGACATCATTAGAGAGGATGAGTGGATTATTTGAGCTTTAGTGGTTTAGACCAGATGACCCTGGAGATTCAGCAAGTGCATAAAAACAGAGCCGCTGGCCGTCCTCAGGGGGCACCTGAATGTCAGTGTTCAGTCTCTCAAGTATCTGCTGCTGCATCTTCTGGGCCTTCCTGCTAGAGGAGGCTAACCTGCAGCGTGGCCCTAGCATGATCTCCTGCCTCCTACCTTTTGTTTGTATAAAAGCAAAATATTTTCTCTGTGCTTGCTGCAGTTGCAGATGAATGATTTAGTCTCAGCAACCAGGCACAAGGCCAGTCAAGTCGTGACTATTTTAGGAAGAGTTTCTTCGCTGTGTGGCTCTGGAGGTTGGCTTGGTAAACATGTTCACATGGGGGAGGCCAACTGAGCCACAGATCTTAACATCTCTTAATTTTTTGTTTGTAAAAATTTCTATAGAAGGCAGATTTCTAAAACTTAGTCATCTTCTTACACTTGGAATGTGAATAAATGAGATTTGCTATATCTTAGTGTGGTAGCTTTGAAATTTTTTAAGACAGTAACTCACAGTTAGAAATAAATTTTACACACACTAACCCCTCACTCACACATCCATCTACATCTATGTACACACCCAAACACACCCACGTTTCTTTCCCTCCATATACCTCTAGACACCTCGGCATACACCCATCACACCCATACTCCTGCACATTCCACATGCCCCCAATATACTTACACAATGAAAACAGAATTTCTTGAAATATTACTTAACCTTTTACTGTCTGTGATGAACTCTGAAAATAATAATAATAATAATAATAATAATAATAATAATAATAATAATATTTGATACTAGGGATTGAATTCAGCCACATCCCCAACCTTTTTTTTAATATTTTATTTAGAGACAGAATCTCTATGAGTTACTTGGGGACTTGCTAAGTTGCTGAGGCTGGCTTTCAACTTGAGATCCTCCTGCCTCAGCCTCCTGAGTCCCTGGGATTATAGGCATGTGCCACCATGCCCAGCTATTATTCTATCTTATTCACTTGAAAAGAGATCACAAGTCACTAAATTGATTCATGATCCATGAATGAAATTCAATCAACTCTTCAAAGCACCAGAGCTGGATTAGGATTCTTCCTGCTACTCATTATGTGATCTCAAGTGAGCTATTTCACTTCTTCAAATCTTTGTTTCCTTAGATTTAAGGAGGGGTTACTGTGAGTCTTTTTTTGGGGGATAGGTCCGGTGGGCCCAGCATCCTCTATAGTACACAAGCATTAAATCGGGGAATGCCTGGCTCAGAGTGAACCCTGGCACACAGGCAATCTCAACTCAAGGTACAAAACCAGGATTTTAAGAAGGAAGCTCTAGCCAGGCATGGTGACGAATACCTGTAATTCCAGTGACTCAGGAGGCTGAGGCAGGAGGATCCCAAGTTTAAAGGCAGCCTCAATAACTTAGCAAGACTCTGTGTCAAAGTAAAAGATAAAAAGTACTGGGGATGTAGCTCAGTGTTAAAGCACCCTTGAGTTCAATCCCCAGTACCAAAACCAAAAACAAAGAAACCAAAAGAAGTAGCTCTGCAACATGAGAGCTTACTGTGCCTTAATGTTTTAAGATTTTGTGTGGCTTCTATCTGTGAAAGAAAAAAACCTAGACTATAACAGAAGCTTCTCCTACTTCTTCATGTTTACTCTATTTCAAAAGTCATATGACATGATTTTAATTTTAAGCCATCTCAAATTCCTTTTCTTTCTTTCTTAATTTTTTTTTTTGTAGATGGACACAATACTTTTATTTTATTTATTTTTATGTGGTGCTGGGGATTGAACCCAGTGCTTCATGTATGTTAAGCTAGCACTCTACCCCTGAGCCACAACCCCAGCCTCTCAAAGAGGGAGCAGGGCGTGATGGTTGGGAAGGAGGAATGCAAGTTCAAGGCCAGCCTCAGCAACTTATCTAGGCCCTAATCAACTTAGTGAGACTCTTTTTTTTTAATATTTATTTTTTAGTAGTTAGACACAATAGCTTTGTTTTATTTATTTATTTATTTTTTAATGTGGTGCTGAGGATCGAACCCAGGGCCTTGCATGTGTTAGACGAGCGCTCTATCGCTGAGCCATAACTCCAGCCCCAGTGATATCCTATTTTAAAATAAAAAATGAAAAGGGTTGGGGATGTGGCTCAGTGGTTGAGCACCCCTGAGTTCAACCCCCGGTACAAAAAAAAAAAAAAAAGAAAGAAAGAAAGAAAGAAAGAAAGAAAGAAAGAAAGTGTTGAAGGAAGGTTGTAAATAATCAATAAGCAGTAAAAATGTCCTTTCAATCTCTTGATCGTAATATTTTCTTAACATTTGGAAGGGAAGATGAAGCATTGGATGGAAGGGAATTTTTAAATGGGAGGCTGAGGCTGTCTGGGTACCACACTGTGAGACTGGGATGTCCTTCCTTCTGGAGTTCATTCTGAAGATTTTGTGAGTCCTTTGAGGGCTGGACCCAAGTACATGCCTTTCCTCAGATGCAGACTCAGCTAGAGGCAGAGGAAGACCAGCAGCCAACTTTCGCGGATAAGAGGATTCAAGATTATTTCCTTTTCCTCAGAATATTAAGTGTCATTTAGTGAGTATGGACAAAGGGAGGGGAAGCGAGAGACAGCCATGCATGGAGAGACCTGCCGATTGTGTTTCTCATAATTCCCCATTTCCCACCCCAGAGTGGCATTGTCCCAAAGGCATTTCAAGTAAAAATTGTATATGGAAAAAAATAAATGAATCAGATCTACTTCTTATCCTTTGCCCTCTGCATCCTAAATCTCTATTTTCTATCTAGTGTCCGGTATTATGTGGCACTCAATATTTTTTTTTTTAAAATAAGTGAACTAATGGGTCATTTGGAAATAAAAAATGTAATTGAAGAAAGAGCCCCTTTCAAAATTTAACCTTCCAAAAGTTGCAGGCTTATGTTTTTATTCTCATGAAAAAATATTGTCTAGTGTTCAATGCACTTCCTTGATCATTCTGATCTGTCATTATCAAATTTAAATGATAATGAAGAGCCCCTGCTGGATTTTGGCACATACTGAAAAACAAAACAAAACAAAAAACTGGCTTGTTATCTGTAGGAGGCATATTCTGCTGTCTATTCCTTCTGCCATCTGTGGAAGTAGAAAGAGACAGTTTTATTGAAATTTGGAGATTATAAAAATGGAGGATGCCTACATCAAAGCAATATTGATAGCTTCCACAGCCATTTCTATGGGATCCCTGCCAAACACACAGCTGAGGGGAGATGGGAGCATGTGAAAGAAAATTGCTCAGTAATAGTCCCTCCTCTCTCTCCAGTCAATATTTTGGACATGTCCATGCAAAAGGCTTATAAAACAACTCCATGATAGCCCTTGGAAGCCCAGGGGACTGCAGTTCAAGGGGATTTTTTGCTGTCCACCAACACT